CTGCATCCTCCAGGCTAAAGACCATCAGGATTGTTACCAGCACACAGTTCAAAAGCCAGTATCCGAGATGGTATGAGGGGGCATTAGTGCACATGGCATGGGTGACTGGCACATCTGTGAAGGCACCATTAATGCTGAATGATATCTACAGGTTTTGGCAACATATGTTGCCATTCAGACGATGTCTTTTTCAGGGAAGCCCCTGCTTATTACAGCAAGACAATGTAATATTACGTATTACAACAGCATGGCTCTGTAGTAAAAAAGTTAGGGTGCTAAACTGGCCTGCCTGCAGTCCAGACCTGTCACCACTGAAAACATATAGCACTTTATGATACAAGAAATATGACAAGAGATCCCAAACTGTTGGGCAGCTGAAGTCATATATCAAATAAGAATGGGAAAACATTTCACTTTCTAAACTACAGCAGTTGGTCTCCCCAGTTCCCAAACACTTATAGAATGTTTTTAAAAGAAGAGGTGACTTTTTTGGAATGTGTTGCTGTCATCAAATTCAAAATGTGCACATATTTTTTAAAAAACAGTAAAATTTCTCAGTTTTAGCATTTGATATGTTGTCTTTGTGCTATTTTCAAATAAATAAAGGGTTTAAATGGTTTGCACATCATTGCATTTCGTTTTCATTTACATTTTGCACAGCATCCCAACTTTTTTGGAAATGCGGTTGTATTTTGTACAACTTTTTACATTAAAAATCCAAACTATACTTTATTTACAGTTTAGTGACCTCTGTATTTTAAATACAGGGCTTCAAACAATGCTGTATTATGCTTGTACTATTATAAGCAGAATATGCCATAGTATATTCTTAGCACAAATCTTGACATATCATTAAAATTCTATATGTTCCATAGACGACCCAGAGAGCTCCAACCAAGATACTAATCCTCAGCCCAGAGAACTTCAAATGGAGTGTTCATATTCAGGCAACTTTTAAGTCAAGAGCAGATTAGATCTAGTTCACAGATTAACCTACTTTAAGGCCTCTCTTTTAAACTGAAGTACTTCTACAGGGCTGAGCCCTAAAAGATATTAAAGCAAACTTTGACAGTGGAGAATATTCTCTTATCTGTTGTAGCAGAGCAGTAAACTGTGTGCTTGAATGTCCTATAATAAAGTCACTTTTTAAACAGATATTTTGATTTGTCATCTAAATAATTGTGCTACTGAAAATGTATTAACAATGACAAGACGATGGGCACCTGTATTGTGTTCTTTTCTATATTTCACTTGATGGGTTTCAGGCAGCAACACCATGTGGTTTCCTCACCTCTGTACTCAGGATGTTACGTTAAACACGCCTGCTGTTATTTTTTTTAGCACGCCCAAGACAAAGACGACACATGTGACAGCATATGTGATTGATCTGGCCAAGCCTCACTGCGACAGCATGCGGTTGGAAAAGAGAGCGAGCTGGACAGGATGGTACAAAAATAGCTAGCATGATAATGCTGAAAGTTAGTGCTCACACACCTCACAAACTCAGCATGTGGCCTTATAAAAGGACAACGAAAATTTGAACAAGAACATTGATTTTAACTGTTTCATTTTGGAGACTGGAATCTATGTGGCATTAAAGACTGCTTAAAAAAGATACGTGTGGTGTTGTGAAATTGTAACTATAATTTGGGTTGCTGATACAAATATCTGTATAGTTAAATCGTTAAGTGTTTTGATGTAAAATTCTGTTCTATAGAAACTTACCAAGTCAGAGTCATTCATAGTGGTGATGATACCACATGTCAAGCCTCTAAAAACTACCTCATAGAAAGTGACAAAGTGGTTTGAACACATTACCTGATGATGTTTTTTATGAGATGTTGTTTTTAATAGGTTTGTGAGAAGGTTTTGGCCTAAAACATATATTTAAAATTCAAGCAGGGCATGGTAAGGCAAAGTAGACCCCACTATTTTACCATTATCAACATCACACATAAAAGTTGTGTAGATCATTACTATTGTAAAGAAATTGATATGTTTCTCTGAATGAGTTTTTTTACATCTCAACATTTGAATTAAATGGACATTTTGAAAATTCATTACATCAGTCCTTTCGCTCTTGGTTCACTCTATTGGAAGATGTCTGCCACTCACTTCAACACAAGAGTTGCACAGCTGAGCAGAAAAATAAGCTAGAGAGGACTTTGCGTTCAGCCTCATTTCTGCTATATGAGAGTCAAATTCAATTTAAAAGACACAAAATCACATGTCACCCCCCCCTTTGCTCATCACCTCTCCCTTCGCTCATCGCCTCTCCCTTCAGAACAAAAAGACTGAGGTCTATCAAAACATAAAGTTCCCTTTTCCTAAATTATGCATGCTGTAAAACCACACAGATACTGAATACCTTTGTACAGACTCACTTTATCAAATAATGCAATCACAACACTTCCTTAACGTACCAATAACATTCTGTTTGTATGTCTGTTTGTATGTGTTCTCTTGTTGTGATGTCATGGCTTTGGCCTTTGGCACAAATGAGAGCACTAAAGTGATTTTACTATCGATTCAGTTCAGTTTATCTACACTCAGCCTAGCTCAGTTTAGCTCTCTCAGTTCAGTTAAATTCAACTCAACTCAGTTTGGGTCAGTTTAGTTTATCTTAACAAAATTCAACTCAGTTCAGTTTGGTTCACGTAATGTCAACTCAAGTCAACTCAACTCAGTTCAGTTTAGTTCAAGTAATGTCCATTCAAGTCAATTCAACTCAGTTCAGTTTAGTTCCACTCAAGTTAACTCAGTTCAATTTAGTTCAAGCAATGTTAAGTCAACTCAAATCAAGTCAGTTTAGTTCAGCTCAAGTCAACACAACTCAACTTAGTTCAGTTTAGTTCAACTCATCTAAAACTCAACTCAGTTCTGTTGAAATTCAACTAATCTAAACTCACTTCAGTTCTGTTCAGTTCAGTTTATTTCAACTCAGTGAATGTCAACTCAACTCAACAGTTTAGTTTAGTTCAGTTCAGTTTAGTTCAGGTCAGCTCAGCTCAGCCAACTCAATTCAGTTTAGTTTAACTCATCTTAACTCAACTCAGTTCTGTTTAGTTCAACTCATTTCAACTCAGCTCAACTCAGTTGAGTTCAATTTAATTCAACTCAATGCAGTTCAATTGAAGTCAACTCAGTTCAGTTCAGTACAACCTAGGGCAACTCGATTCAATTCAGTTCAGTTTATCTACACTCAGCCTAGCTCAGTTTAACTCTCTCAGTTCAGTTAAATTCAACTCAACTTAACTCAGTTTGGGTCAGTTTAGTTTATCTTAACAAAATTCAACTCAGTTCAGTTTGGTTCACGTAATGTCAACTCAAGTCAACTCAACTCAGTTCAGTTTAGTTCAAGTAATGTCAACTCAAGTCAATTCAACTCAGTTCAGTTTAGTTCCACTCAAGTTAACTCAGTTCAGTTTAGTTCAACTCAACCTAGGGCAACTCAATTCAATTCAGTTCAACCCAACTTATGTCAGTTCAGTTTAGTTAAACTCATCTCAGCTTAACTCAATTCAGTTCAGTTAGTTCAACTCAACTCAACTCAACTCAACTCAACTCACTTCAGTTTGGTTCAACACAGCTTAACTTCACTCAATTCATCATCACTGTCATTACCATATTGCACATAGTACCATACTGGGCTATGAAGAAAGAACAACAGGTACAAAGAGCCTTTTTCCAAAACTATGTGTGAAGTGTTAAGAATATAACATTGTGAAACTGTGCTGTTTGAGTCATATCACTCATCTGCTGACACAGAAATCATTGTATGTTCAACGAACATGAGGTACTTTTGAAACTATACTTTAATATTTTTGATTTGCGTAGTTCCTTTCAGGTTATGTACATGCTGCAGTGTGCTGAAAGAGAATCAGCCTCAGCCAGCATTCTCAACAGCATCAAAGCTGCTGCCAGCAGCGCCTGTGTATGTAAAACCTCCATCATCTCTCTCCACGGACTGCCAGAGTCAATAGTCGAGCAACTCTGAAAGTGATGTTGCTGCTTTGCAGGGATCAGAGCCACTGTCAAATATGAGCTTTATGACAAAAAATCAGTGAGGGATTGTGTTCTGAAGAGCTGCCTTTCTAGCATGAATCGAATACCAACCATCTAAAAAAGAAAACGAGAGAGATTCTCTCGCTGAGCGACTGAGTCACTCACTCTCTTTGGAGAGCAGTGGATCCCAAGAGTTCTACTGGTTCTTTTATTCTCGAATTCTTTCAGATGTGCTCCTTGAGGGTCCTGTTCAACTTCATGACCTTCAAACCACTTTTATGGACTTTGCATGCGCATGTTAAAGCCAAAGTAGGCACAGAGTGCAATATCTGTCAAGTAATTGATACAAACACACATAACATTGTTCATGTAATATCAATATCTATATATTCATAACCTCTTAAACTCTAAGGGCCTACAATTGGGCCCAAACTTCACTCTAATAACTGGTTACATATTATTCTAATAGCAGTTACTAAATAATATGTGGTAGTTAATATATAATAAAACATTAATAACGGAATAATAAGCCTAAGGTTCAAAAAGGCAAGTGATCGTGTACACTTTAATAGGCTGGTGCACTTCCTATGTGTTTTTTTCTTCTTTGTAATTTGAAATTGTACTGTTATTTCTATATTTGTACTTTTCATTTAAACGCTTCACATTTACTTTTCATTTCATTTATGCATTACAATGCTTTGCTTATCTTCCTGTGCAACGCGCCTTGAGATTTTACAAGTAAAGATTATTATTTTCGAAATATATGCATGGTTAGATGTCTTTTCCACCTCACAGAGGGATGGAAATCTTTTCATATGGTTCTGTCTCCTCCTGTTTCCTCCTATTTTTTTCTTCTTCTAGTTTTCCTGTTTCTCATATTGCTATATTTCCTTGTGTTTGAGAATGCAAAGACAGGAACCACCACCCCCTCCCTGCCTCCTACGTACACTCTCTCTCTCTCTCTCTCTCTCTCTCTCTCTCTCTCTCTCTCTCTCTCTGTGCTCTCCCCTCCTCCTCTTCAGCTCTCTTTCACACTCACACTCTCTCACCCACTTAGTCTATCACATGTACTCGTGTTGCACCTGACAGCCAGTTTTGCTCTCGACCAAAGGACAGTCTTTTCATCTGTTTTGTGCTGTGTCGGACGCTCCATCCAGCTTTGCTTTCTTTGCGCTGTACCTTCTCGTCTCAGCAAGCTCCTTTTTGGTCTGCCAGGGTTGTGGATCCTCTCCCCTGCTGCTCTACAGAAGACCAGTTCCAGCTGCTCCAGCTGCTGTACGAGGGGTCGCAGGATGGAGGCTGTGGCTCTCTACGACTTCCGTGCCACGGAGAGCGACGAACTCAGCTTCCAGAAGGGCGACGTACTCAAGGTAAGAGCAAAAAACGACAGCTCAGTTCTCTACCATTATTTTTCGCTTTACTTGATTAACATGAAGATTAACTTTACTTTAGTTGTGTGGTTTAAAAAAATAAAAGTTCTGGGCTTGGTTCTAGGAAAATCTTTAACTGGTATAGAACGTTTATATTATGTGGAGATCCTTTATATGTTAAAAACATTCCTCCACCCACTGAAAGGTTTTTTATGGAGCCACAGCGGTTCTTATATGGAATAGCTCCAAACATCCCATTTTAGCCCCTTTATTTTTGAGGGGGCGCATGTGTATGTGATTTTGAACCAGGAACTACATTGTTCTATATATAGATATACATAGAAAACCTGTCTTTGTAGCCCAGCGCAATAGAGAACTCTAATAAGGACAAGATAATAGTTGTTGATGGTTAAGCACAGCTTATTTCCATATCAGATTACCAATATGGAAGATGACCCAAACTGGTACACAGCAGAGTTACTGGGAAGGAGGGGCTACGTGCCCAAGAACTACATCAGTGTAAGACCACATACGTAAGTATTACGTTTTCACACTGAGGGAATGAGCTGGGGTTTTATTGTATCATCTGCTGAGAGTGGAGGTGAGATTGTGAATCTGTTCATTGGATGTACTATTCACAGATGGTTTGCAGGCCGGATCTCCAGGCATGTGGCTGAGGGACGGCTTCGCCAGCGGGAATGTGGGGCGTTCTTGGTGCGAGAAAGCGAGAGCGCACCTGGAGAGTTCTCCATATCAGTCAGGTGAGACTATGACCTTCTCCAGTTCATGTGGACCCTCCTGTCACCTTCTCCAGGTCGTTTGGACCTTCTTGTCACCTTGTCCAATTCAATATCATCTTGTGCAGGTCAGTTAGGCCTTCTTGTCACCTTGTCCAGGTCATCTGGACCCTCTTATTATGTTGTGCAGGTCATTTGGACCTTTTTGTCATGTTCTCCAGGTCAATTAGACCCTTTTATCATCTCGTGCAGGTCATTTGAACCTTCTTGTCACCTATTCCAGGTCATCTGGACCCTCTTATTATGTTGTGCAGGTCATTTGGACCTTTTTGTCATGTTCTCCAGGTCACTTTAACCTTCTTGTCACCTCCTCCAGATCATAAGAGTTTGAAATATTTGTTCAGACCCAACAGGGCTTGACCATTCATGTCATGGCTTGGTTAGGTTTGGACAATTATTTTTCTAACTCAACAAATTTTTGCATGGATTTACCCCAGTTTATCTCTCTATTTTATTCTTTTTCCTTACCTTTGTTAGCCTTATCTTAATTTTTAATCCAATTTTTAATTCTAAACATTAGAAGCCTGAGTTTTATTCGGCCTCCAGTTCTTGGCGGTCAGATTCAGGGAAGGTTCAGACAGAATTTTGCTGGGCTATAGTCACTGTGGTTTGGGATCAGGTTGAATTCGCACAGAATGTTCTCTGGTTGTATTTGAGCTTAGTTCAAATTTTCAGGCCCAATTAAATCTCTACCGTGGGCTGCCTAGTCATTGAACTGAAGTGAATTTGGTTTACGTTTATGCGTGTATGTGGACTGGTTTAAACTAAATAACACATGCCAGGCAAATTGTGTTTCATATAAAGCTAATGTGGTTCTGTAATGACCTACCAACCCTTCTATCACCTTAAAAGAATGGGCACCAGAAAGCTATTACCTGGAGATTATATCATCAAATTCTCGAGCACAGGTATAAAATTATTATCTGCCATGGCTCATTAACTGATGGTCCTGCTTGGCTGATTTGGGTTTGGACACAAGCAGGAGACATACGACACATCCCAGAAATGGGCCGTGGCATTCACAGAGCTAATCAGCGCTGCAGTGCTGGCCTCAGGTGTGGAGGCGCTGGTTCCTGTTAGCGTGAGATTAGGAGGCTTCTCGGCACACCAGAGGAAGTGGAATTGGCAGCTGGTGTGCTGGACCCAGCCTAATGTGTGATGCAGCCGGCAGCGGCCCTGCTCTGCATTCCAGACGGAGAGGCCTGTCTGAGGCTTGTGCACACTAATCATTTTACAGCTGGCGCGGAGACTATGTCAATGTGCATGAGCAGAGCATTTCACCTCACACATGGGATAGGCTTGAAATCCAAGTCTTCAATCTCAGATGTTTTTACTAACCATGACCATCTTGTCTTACTTGGAGTGGGAAGGCATCTGTACTGTCGTATCTGAGTGGCATCCTTTGAGGAAACCACTTTCAGATTATCAAAAGCCTTAATTCTGCATAAATGCTCACTAAATATAATATACTTTATCATTATCACTTAAGTTCTCAGAGTCTTGTATGTGGGGCCACACTTCAATTTTTCACTCACATATTACTTGCATCTTTTATTATAGTTACCAAGTAATTCATAGTAGTTCCTCAATAGAAGTCTTAAAATTAATGTCAATAACATTACATTTTACAAACTTCAGTTCTAAAACATAAGATAACATAAGACAGTATGTGAAATACAAATAAAAAGTTGAAAACAGTGCAAAAAGAAAGTATTCGATGTTTTACCTTATGAAAATAATGTTTTTGTTAAATATACACTCATTCCACATTTGATGCCTGCAGCACATTCTAAAAGATGGAACACAAGCACATTTATCACTGTGTTAAAATTAATGATGAGTTAGCAAACCATGACAGACCCTGACTTTTGAACTTTATACTGGTAACAATCTGGAGGGTGCTTTTCTTCTTTTGCCCAGAGAAATCTAGACAAATCTATTATTTCCATAAACTATCTAAATATTCGCAGATGGCACTGCATTACAACCTATTACAAATTGTCAGACCATTGTTTTTAACAGCTTTTAATGCAGTGCCATCTGAGGGCTCAAAGGTCACAGGACTTATAGTTTTTGGCCTTGCCCTTTATGCACAGAGATTTGTCTGGATTCCTTGAATCTTTTGATGGCATTATGCTATGTAAAGGGTGAAACATCTAAAATCCCTGCAATCACTTGTTGAAAAACATTAGGCCTCATTCACAAACCATTCTTAAGAATAAATTCCTTTTTAAAAGCCACTCACGCAGTTTCCACGAAGATTCTGACATTATTTGAGATTTTTTCTTAGGTAAGAACAGAATATACACACACTCGAGAGCACAAAGGTGTGCACAACTCTGCGGTTTAAGAACACATCATGAATCTGACGTAGACTTTTTTTAAGGACTTTTCTCAAGAACAAATTTAAGAAAAAACTCAGGAACATATTGGTGAATGAGGCCCATTGTTTGTAAACTAATGAATAATTTGCTGGTGCATATTCTGGCAAAGTGGCAAATCTTGACCCATTCTTGCTTATGAAGGACTAGGAGTGTCCTGGATGCTCCTTTTATAGCCAAACGTGATTACATCACAACATTTCAGTCTTAAATTGACCCAGTTCCAACTTTGGAATGTGTTGCAGCCATAAATTTCAAAATAAGCGTATGTTTACAAAAAAATAACAGTTCATAGGGTAAGACAATATATATCTTGTCTTTGCTCTGTTTTCATTTACATAAACATCAAAGTGAATTTACAAGTCACTGTTTTCTGTTTTTACTTGCTTGATTTTATTTCACTTACTGTCTGAACTTTCATTTTTTTTGAGCAAGCTTGATAGTTTTCCTAATAGCTTTGCGCTTAATATTTTTTTATTGTTACAAAGCTAATAGGAAATCTATCAAGCTTGATCAGCTTTGGTGTTTGGTGGAGCACGTCAGATTGAGTAGCTTCTTTCGTACTATATGAACTCTAACTGCTTTGGGCTTATATTAATGAGCAATTATCTATCTCTGACCCTGTGCAATGCAAATGCACAACCTATTTGGCAAACAGAATTGCAACAGCTTCTTGTACATAGTGGTGAAACATATGTTGGTGGAATTCCTTCGGTTCCTTTAAGGACAGTAGATAATTTCTGCATCTAATGAAACCTAGTGAGAACCTTTGCAGTCACAATCAGAATGTGTTTTATATGTCTGAACACAAGCTGGATATGAGGGTGTAGAATTCTGTTCACTTTTGCTCTCCCACCAGTACAATATATCTAAGCTATATGTTGAAACAGCTTTATGTTTAAAGCTCCACGACAGCCTACATCTATGCATATTTTAAGATTTCTGAATGTTAAATGAGATGACACTGATACGGCCTGTAGGGAACTAAGCCAGCACTTTGCATGTCTTCTAACATGGTGGCATATGACCAGAAATGCACCACATGACTGAATGGAGATATAACATGTGCTGCTCAGACAGTTATGAAATGTAAGCGAACTGTCTGCTCTGCCTAAAACTAGGATGCAGAACAGCTGGAACTGGAAGTATTGTAATAATTAAAATTTAACGTCTTAAACAGCAGATTTATTCATCTGAAAGCTTATCATTCAATAACCACCATAAATTATTCAGTAACTTTGTAGTTATCAGAGTGAGAAATTGAAGTGCCACATATGGGCCCTTACAGTTTAAAAGGGTTATGGCCTACACTGCTGACTATAATATGGAGAAGCCCCAGCAGACAATAAAAAGCATCACTGATGAGGAACCATCACCATCCACAGATGGGTTTGTTCAATGCAGAAATACTCTGTTCTCTATGTGTACATTATTAGCTGGGTAGTCTTGTGCTTTGTGTCAAACCAGTCTTCAGTAGATGATGGAGGATTCCATGTCAGCTTGCATCAGTCATCAGAATCTACAGGGCTGATAGAAGAGGCAGAATACCACATGTTTTTTGGAGGGGCCCCAGCAGATGATATTGGCCATCTGCTTATGGTACATGAAATATTGTTTAGTATTTGGGGCATTTTTAGAGTGCTTTCCACCACCACCATCTTTTGTCTGATTGTTTGCCAGAGTTAAATGTGTAGTTGTGTCTGTGTTGCTCCTGTAACTGCACAAAATCACAGATTTTTTTGTAAAACAATGCATTATGTCATGTTAATGAGACAGTTCTTTAGTAACAAAACCAAGGGTGTAACTACAGGCAATTGAACTGGGGCATGCAGTGCAGGGGCCTGAAATGACAGCTCCCTAAAGTCTTTATACAATTTCTGCACCCAGTACTCATGAGTAGCAACAATAATGTAGCCTCTTACTGCAGGCCCTCTAGTGGCCATTCCGCCAGCAGAATGGAAATCAACTTGGATATTTTAAATGAGTGTAATCTAATGAAATATATTTTCCCATAACCCTATTATTAGGTTAACCAGGATACTGTGGTCATGTGTGAAATGTTGTGACCCTGTGTTGAGCTGCTAGTGAGCAATGGGGACTAAAAGGGGAGGGGTGAGAAACTCCTGCTGAAAAACAATTCACACTTCTCCACAAACATGGCCGTGCCAAGACAAAACTGTCATGATTAAAAATTAGCATTTAAACACATTAAAAACAAATTATAAATGTTGACTTGCTTGCTCACCTACGAAAATGACACTTCTGGTTTTGTAAATGGTGCACATTTCTACCAAAATGTATTTCATTAACGTGGCCAAAAAATGCATATTTCAGCTGAGGAACCTCCCTCAAAACAAGCAGAACTGGCAATGTAACAGATATAATTCAACTATTAGCTTACATTAGAACACTACCCTGGTTGAGGCAGCAAAAGCAAGTAACAGTAATTTTTGTATGAGATCCTAATTGTGCTGTGAGTAAAGTATATAAGGTATTTAGAATGATAAAACATCCTTTACCAGAGTGTGCAGAATCTTCCAGCAGAGATACTTACAGGTGTTGCAGAGGCCCAAATGACAAAATCACTGAAATGTCAATCAGAGTGACCCACTACAGGGTGTGAGCCTAACCTTTTGTTCTCTGTGATTGTGAGGCGGGGGGTGGGTATTTTTGTATGGTGTAAGTTTTTCCTACGTGCCTCAACTATAACCACTGTAGCTCTGAGGTCAAGAGCCCCAAATGTGGGTATAAAGACACTGCTGAGCACCACGGCTTGGTCTGTTTACAAACCACTGCCTGTAAACAGCTCTTCACTGCTTTAGCTGCTCCTCCAGGGCTTTAGATAACAACTAGACAGCCACAAACGTAAATTACTTGGAAAACTAAATCATGAATATAGGCTAAGTCACAGTTCCCCATCATACGTTGGTCAGTTCTACAAGCTACGTTTTGCAACACAGGAAGTCTCCTTTCATTCCTCAGAGGGCTGTGAGTGAGAGCTGTTAGGATGCTGCTAGAATAACTTACTGCAAACTTGTCATACCATTACAGTGCTAATTTAAAGACTTGTCTTGTGTATTCAATATGGCTGATATTTCTCAAAATGAGAATGTTGTAAGCATACTATTGAACATTCAAAGTTTTAACTTCTGTTTAGTAGTATCAAGTGAAATTATCTTACTACAGAGAGCAAATAATATTGCATGTTTGAAGAAATAAGGCTTATCTGCCAGGACAGTAAAGCATAAACTTGAGAAGCTCAGTTTATGTAAGTAAAAATACTTTGAAATAAGTGGAATACCCTTATAACAATCTCATAATAGATTGCCCGTAAGCATGAGATGCTTTCACTTGCCAAGATGTAATTTTTTCTGTGTACAACACAATCACATTGTGTAGAACAGGAAAGTGGCCTTTGGGGCATTGGGCCTTGCAACAGCTTGCAGAGGAAGCAGATAAAGATAAATGTTATTGTTCCACAGCAGCTCCTTCAACATTATCCACAACAAGGAAGAAATATTTTGTACAAGTTATTCTTACAGATAAGGTGGTGTAAATTGGGAGTATTAGCCATTGTGTTATTTCTACAACATGTACTCAGTTTTAGTTTGAGCTCACTGCTGATTATGGTTGCTTCTTATATTTTCCTATGCAATATTTCTATACCGTATATAATGCTCAGTACATACAGTATGCCACCTCTCACAAGTCCACATATAAGCCAGATTCTCATGGTTTGTTGTGAAATTCTGTTTTTTCTCACCTTGGTATGTGAGATCAATAGCCAGCTCACATGGTTCTCCACAGTTTTTCTACCGCTAGATTACCTCTTAATTTCATAAGAATGTTATCGAAGAGAAATCAGCTGTCTGCTTTAGGTGACGGAAATACTGCTTAATATTTTTAAGAGTTTTGTCCGTTAGACTGCTTTCCGTCCCCCACCCCCACTCTTCCTCCTGGTTGTTTGCCAGTACAATGTTACAGTGTGTGTCGCTTATTTAAATAGGTGGGTTCTTTCTGAAAATATGTTTCAAAACATGTGCTGTATGTCCAAACGTTTGTAGACACCTGCTCATCTGATGTTTCTTCTGAAATCAAGGGTATTAATAGGGAGTTTATTTACCTTTTTGCTCCAGTAACAGCCTCTACTCATCTGTTATAACATTGCTGTGAGGATTTGATTGCATTCAGCCACAAGAGCATTACTGAGGTCAGCTAGTCGTGTTGAATGATTAGTTCTGGATCACAAACTCTACTCCACCTCATCCCAAAGATATCATATGGAGCTCTGTCACTCCAGAGAACACAGTTCTACTGCTCCAGAGCCCACATCGGAGGGCTTTATACCCCTCTAGCTGACTTTTGGCTTGTGTGCAGCTGCTCCGGAGAGTTCTATTGGCAGTGCCTTGCTATGGCAAAAATACAAGCTATATGTGTGCATCTGAATTCTTGTTTCAGCAATAGGTGCACCTTATAGTAGCTGAATTCACTAGACAGAGTGTCTTTTGGACATATGGTGTACTTGAGCAGCACTCAAGTACACCCAAGCAGTATTAAGGGGTGTTTCTAGACTGCTGGTTGGATTGGGGAACACTCCAAATTAAGAGGGGCACAGCCCATCCTCTTTGCTTGTCGATCATAGGGGCAGAACAGCCTGCATTAAGAACCTTTTTTGACTAAATACCAGTTAAATGTATTGAATTCAATTAGTCTATGTAAGTTGCTTAAAGGGCCTATGTAAATCCTGTATTATATATTGTTTTCCTTAAACTGATTGTATGCACCAACAGTAATAATTTATTCTTACATGACGATTTTCCATTCCCTTATAATTAAACGGTCTATTTTTGCTACTGCACCTTTAAGAGTGACATATGTAAATAAACTCTGTTCTGATTGGCTGCCCTGCATTGGGCCTTATTCAAAAAGCAGTCTGGACTGAAACACACCTTACAGCTTCAGCATGCATGGGCGGAGCTAAACTGTTACAGGCTGATTAGGTGGACATGTGTAAATGTATCACGGCATTATGAAAACAGTGAATTCAAAACAGGCTGCCTTTCTTAGTGTCCATATGGACGGGGAAGTATATTTGAGTGTATTTGAAGCTTAAACATTGTTTATATACTATGCATTAAACTCTTTTATTTCAAAAAAATTGGGAAACATTCAGTTTTCCATGACATTGGCCCTTTAACATTTTTGATTTAGCGGTCTAATACATGTTTTTGGTAGGCTAACCTTTAAGCGTTAGCATTGCTCTGGCTGCTCTGTGGCTGGCTAGCTGTTAAACATTGAAAGTCAAATGTTTGTACATCTATGCTGTTATATACTTGCTCATGTCCACCTATTGCGAGCTCTGTATTGAGAAAAGTGGGCACATTCAAAGGAAAGGTGCTGGTGCACTGTGGGAAATGTAGTGTCTGTGGCGAATTAGTGTCATAATATTTGTGTTGTGTAGTGTAGCCCAAACATTAAGGTTAAAAGTGGAAACTTTATAGCTTACATATTGACTTTTTTCTCGTGATTATATTGGGGCATTGCAACATTTTTCTGGGACATGTGCCCCAGAGGATTGGGGCATTCAAACTACTAAATAAAACTAGTTAATAAAACCCTTTATTTCTCTTCCATGAAAACCCTAATCTATGAGATTAGATTATTGCCTATGTATGCACTTTCCTTTCTAAGAGTACATGACAGCTACAAAGAACTTCAGCAACTTCTGAGCTGTTCTTTAGGTTGTTCAAATACACTTGTTCCTTCTTATGCAGGTAAAATAGTCAAAAAAAAGTCCCTTCGTTCACTCAGACAGACAGAGCAAAGTGTTTTTGCCATGCAAGCACAAAAAAAGGGGAACTGATTCATGCTCATGCTTTTGCCCAAAACATTTATCTGAATTATGAATTTCTCAGTTCTCTAACTGGCCTGCTGCATGCATCTAGTTAATTCCCCATCAGACACCTCTATTTGTCTTGTTTCTATTTTTTCCCATTTTCTGTTTCAGTTAAGTGGCACTGCCATATATTTGATTAAAAGAAATCTCTGTGGGCCCTCCAAAGTGGTGCTGAGCACAATTACAGTCTTTCTCTATGAAGGAAACTGCTGCAATAACTAATCAAGCTGGAAGTTTGTTGGCAATAGTTACTTTAGTGTAGTATAATAACGCATGACAAAATACCTACTGACCTGAATAAGACAGGTTCTGTTTTTTTTCCCTCTGAACAGCTATGGAGATCATGTGCAACACTTCAAAGTTCTGAAGGAGAGAGAGGGACACTACTTTGTCTGGGACGAGGTCTTCGCCTCCCTCAACCAGCTAGTGAACTTCTACAAGAGCAACAGCATTGCTAAGGAACGGACCGTCTTCCTCAGAGATGCAGAGCAGTCACAAAGGGTAAGTGCCGTGTTTAATATGAATGTTTTTAGGATCAAATATTTATAATGTGGGCTCTCTACAAGAGCCTGGTTCTGTTCTAACTTGTCTACCAGCACAAAAGACAAATTGAGATATATATATATATATATATATATTATATGAAAATTGCACATACATCAAAAATAAAGTATATCAGATATGTGTATGTGAACAAAATATATGTACACTACCATTCAAAAATCTGTAATCACTTATTACATGAATAATTACTTATTATTTATACAGTGTAGATTAAAGTACTAAAAGCTAGCATATAGGGTAGGCTAGATTTTTTCAAATAGAACTTATTCAGATATAAATAATGTACTCTATCAATGTATATACAGTATGTTCCTGGTAAGTTATCTATCTTCCTGAGATTTGATCAACGCTTTTCAAATATGAGGCATCCTGGATGTTAGTTTTGGTGTGATTTTCAGTGTGTGTGGTTTTATGAATAAAAACAGTGATTCCTACCTTTGAATGGTGATTTCACACCTCTGCATGGTCATGTATGTAAACAACAAGACAACAAAACACAAAAATAAAGCGAGATATTTCAGTGGAGGAGTCTCCACTACAATAGTCTCTATTGTAGCCTAAATAAGGTGCAATGATGTTAATCTAGAACCGCATTTTGGCTGCATAATGAAAGAACAAGCAATGCAAACATCCAAACTCATAAGTGTGAAAGCAGAACATCCAAACTCAGAAGAACATCCAAAACTCAGAGCTGTGAAATGAATACTGTTCTTATGCAAGGTCAGTGTGTGAGCATAAGGTCAGTTTTTCAGGTCAGAATGGCACTCTGAGTGAGAGCCGAGTGGCAGATCAGTCACGGTCGAGTCAGAGGCGCACTAAACATTGGCTGGTGTGTTTTAATGTTTCCAGCAGAGGCCCCATCACGCCCATGCCCTGTTCGACTTCAACCCGCAGCACAACTCCCAGCTGCACTTCCTGCGCGGTGATGTCATCGACCTGCTCGACTGTTCAGACGCACAATGCTGGAAGGGCCGTTGCCATGGCCGCGTGGGCTTCTTCCCCAGAGAGTACGTCAAGCCCATTTACCACTGACCTCTCAGCCTAACGCCAGGCAACGACCAGGGACCGGGCACTGCTTTCACACATGGACTGCCTCAGACCAACATTCAGTAATGCAGTGTCTGAGTTGTGAAAAATAAAGGCCTGGACTGCTGACCTACCAAACAAGAAAACTATAAGAGAAACTATGTAATCACTTTTATTTCGCCACCAGTGTATAAAAGCAGTGATGTTGACACTAAGAGGCTACTGTGGGCTATGGGACTGTGTCTAAAGAGGAGGGGAAGAAATGTCACTAAACAGAGAAAGAAATACATACAGAATTTAAAACGCTCTGTAAATAGTCCTCAAATGCAACATTTTGCAGCACTTTCAATGTAAACTTAAATCATTTGGTTCAAAATGTGTTGCATTCTTCTTCTTTCCATTCCCTATTGTGTGTTTGTTTTGTGGTATTTTAATTTCATGTGTATTTTCTTTGTTGTCTTTGTTATAAATATCTTTTCATATATAAACAAGCTGTATGTGAATATTGTAGCTTGATGAAAATAAAAGTGTGTTGATGATAAAATAGCTGGCCCAGCAATTTATTTATTCTACTGTGATCCAAAAGAATGCACTTCACTGCGGCAGCAACAGCTCCGCCCACTGAAACTGAAGCTACACTCATGGCAAAAAGGGGAAAATCTAATAAAGGTTCTAGACCAATTTCCTAAAAAAGAAACATCTACAACAGTTTTTCCATTACAGCGAAAAAACATGCAAACAACAATTCATGCATGCAGATGGTTTTTTGAGTTGAGTACAGAACCTTTGAAGAACTCTTGCTTTTAAGAGGGTACAAAATCAGCCCGTGGTTTGCTGCACTGCGAAGCCTCAAGAATCTCTCAGACCGGCGCTGGCTGGCTGATCCTGTTCGAGGCCAGTGTTGACTCTTCTTTACTTCTCAGCACACTGTAATGTCTGTAGCACGTTAGAGAACTATCATAACACTCCGGACCGTCACGTGACCGGGCGTGAGCGCGCACAGGTGAGCTGGAACGGGCCGTCTTCTGCACTCTAATCGGCGGTGGCAGCTTCCTGCGCTCTGATTGGCTAGTAGCGATGCTGGTTCCCACGTTCTGACTGGCTACTAGTGTGTACGCTTTCTGCGCTCTGATTGGCTAGGAGACGGCCACTTCCGAAGTTTTAGTTAGCCAGTAAAATGCCTTTTTATGTATTTTTCTACACATGCAGTATACAGTAAAAAATATAGTTATGTCAGATAACAAACTGCAAAAACATAAAATATTGTAATCATTTTAAACAATAAAGCTTAATCAAGCTAGTAGAATGCCTGCTTGCTACGCTCTGATTGGCTAGAAGTCTCTTTCGGTTCTCTGATTGGCTAGAAGTTCACACCCACAAATTCTTCCGCGGCCCGTTTGTGAGTATAAACTACTATCCAATCCCAGCACAGGAGAGGCGGAGTTTGTGTGATACAGGTGGGAAAAACAACCGAATGCAGTTCACATTCAGATCAACAAGTTTTCCCCCAGCTACACATATGAAATAAATGACTAGCTTTTTTTTTTTCAAATTCCATCTGAACTTTCCGCTCGATTCCTCTGGGATCCAACAGCCTAATGGCTCTGTCTCAGCTCCAGTGTCTGGATGACAACCACATCAACTTGCGCACCAATGAGTCCAAGCCGGAGTTCTTCTACAGCGAGGAGCAGAGGCTTGCGCTGGAAACGCTTCTGGAAGCGGGACGGAAGGGTTTTGAGGAATTCCTAAAAACCAGCAGCATCCGCAGCTTCTTATCTGACCTGGAGGTGGCCCGGCTGACCGGATCAGTAGAAGCGTACAGGCCGGGGTCGCCTGATGCCTCTGTGCACGCTGACGGAGACCCCGATGAAGCGCACTGCTCCCTGCAATACTGGCCGGACCGCTCCGACACCTCACTGCCTCAACTGGACATGGGCTGGCCGGACTGCGCGGCCTACCGCGGGGTGACCCGCGCACACGTGTACGCGCAGCCGCCTTTGGAGGGTGACGCGCACATTAAAGAGGTTGTGAGAAAGACAATTGCCCAGGCGCAGAGGGTAAGAGTTCAAGATACACTCACTTTCCCTTTAGTGCTTGAAGTGATGACGTGAGAGTCAAAGTCCGGTCAGTGTCCATGCTGTAGGGTGGATCAGGTGCATCAGATAATAAGGGACAGTGTGCTGGATCATATGGGACATGCAATTCATAAGGACTCAATGCTAAAGACATTCTTTTATTCGGTTCCCCACTAAAATGGCTTTTGTACTTTAATGAGCTATTTTATAACATTGCCTTTTGTTCATATACAGGGGTTCAGAAACCGTGTAAACAAAGTGCACCTACAGTTACACGTACCATATTGATGTCTAATGCTTTATATGCCAAAACACAAAAACAAATAATAATAATACATACAGGAATAATAATATCATACATGGTCAGTATAGATATTCAGTTTGTTGCCTATTACAATGTCGTTTTTCCCCTTGTGTCATTACAATTCTTAGTCTGATCCGCCTGTTTGTTATAAATATTTCAGCAAAAACACCAATAATGATAAATATGATGATAAGAAGCAGAAGGAAAACTATAACTGTTATGACACAAGTCAACAGTAGTACAGTAGTGTTGAAAACGATTCTAGGACAGTTTAATGTGTCTAAGTAAATAAAACAGCAGTCTGTTCTGGGTTTAATTAGAGTTTTTAAACTGTAATTGGCCATTTTGTAATAATTGATATCTGGCAACTCCCTTGAATAATTTCAGAAAGTGGAAGGGACAAGTCCCCCCATCACTGCCTGAATTTGCCATTGCTCATTTAAAAAGAATACTTAGAAAAAATATCTCAAATGTGAATAAACTGGCAATGTCCCATGTGACCTGATGGCCCAAAATACCTGAATACAACCTGGAAGTCAAACATAGGTATTCACTGCACCCTTCATAGAAATGTGCAATACAAATATATTTGCATTAGAAGTACAGTAACAGTCATTTTTCCTGAAGTGATGGTAGAATTATTATAAACCCTAGAGAGATCAAGCTGCCTTTGTACACAACAGTCCTGTGGTCTCACTTCCAGCTTTGTGGGCCCTGAATTTATTATTGCATTCAGTTATTTTTCAACTCTCCCTTTGCAGGTCATTGCTATTGTTATGGACATGTTTACAGATGTGGACATCTTTAAAGATCTCCTGGATGCAAGCTTTAAGCGTAAGGTGGCTGTTTACATCTTACTGGAGGCTCCTGGGGTCCCACACTTCCTGAAAATGTGTGAGAGAGCAGCTATGCACACTGGACACCTCAAGGCATGTGCCATCTTTTCCAAATTTGACTCTGCTGAGCAGAACAATTACCCTGGTGATTAAACTCTGAAATTGCTTTATTGCTGATGGACCTTAGACTGACTCTTCATTATTTCTAGTCAGTGAGCCAAAAAGCTATTCAAGTGAGTTATGGGACTGAAACTTTCCTGATGTTCAGGAGGCAGAATGCTTTCATGAATTCAGGCTGATTAGTTGAATGGCTATGCAGGCAGCCTTGAGGTAAATGTGAGCCAAGCTAAGTGCCAATTTGTGCCCTCTGCCTGACCGGAGGGCTTTCTGCTCCTCAGACTGAGAGAGAACAGTGCTGATTCCAGAAAAATATGCTGAAGCACATTTGAAGCATTCCAGACAAAAAGATATGAAGCACACAGGGCTGCACGATGTGAAAAAAAAAATCATGTTGCGATTACAATGTATTAAAAACACAATTGTGCGCTTGGTGTGTCACAGTTGAAAATAGGCCTGCATTATTTTGACAAACCATTTGTTGAATCACATGAATTTGCTAATGAGTCAAAACACTCACATCGAGAATCATCTGTTACTGATCGAAATGCACGAAGCAAACCACGTTGTGATGGGTTAGAGGGCTAATTTGCATATTGCAGCTCTCTGCAATATCAGTATTGCATGGGACAATATTGTGACAAAATTGACAATAAATTTTGTTGTGCATAAAAGATGAATGATGCTTGGTACAGTTCAAAACCAGCGGTTGTGTAACACAGCCAGCTACTGCAAATTATGTGAAAAAAATAATACATGAAAAGGAAAAAGTTGCAATGTTGGCTAAAGCATTGTGTTCTGAAAAAAACTGCCTCAAATGCTGTAGTAGTGGCAGATGTAACTGTGTCAAATGTGGGTCTGGTCTTTTACATCATGGATGAACCTCGGGTAACAGTGCAGACGTGTTCTGCCGATGAGATAATGTAATCTTTTGGCAGATCATATCAGACCTGTTCACATACCTACTTAGTAGAAACAAGAAAACACTTTACAAGAACACTTTACAAGAAAAGTGTAACAGCCTGCACTCTGCTTACCTGATGAGCAAGTGGGTTTATAGTGAGGTGCAGTCCAGTGGTTCTCAGTTCTGGTCTAGGAGTATCCCTGCATGTTGTGGTTTTCCCTGCTCTAACACTCAGTTCTCCTCAGTAAGGGCTTATTAAATAGTACATTAGTTGGATCAGGTTTGCTGGGATCAGGGAACACACTTAAATGTGCAGAGTAGTGGGACTCCAGGACCAGATGTAGTCTTCTCCAGACTGTTGTGTTTTAACATATAGTGATAGCTAAAACACATACAATGGGTTATCTACTAAAACTCATATAGAAACACATGCAGTCGTATACAAAAGATTGAATATATCTAGTATATTACATGTTTTGTTGATTTTCTATGTGAGAGTAAGTTAACACTTCCTCTACAGAGAACACACTTAAATAAGACATTTTTTGCAAAATTTTAGAGGACAATTATTGTTTATTTGCTGAATTTAACATATTGGAAAAAAATAAAACATAAAATATTAAAATATGAAATAACTCATGCACACTTTTTGTCTTTTCCCAATATGTTACATTTAGCAAATAAACAATAATTGTTCATTATAATGTGCAGAAGTGTGTTCTCTATAGAGGTTGTGTTATTTTCACTTAGAAAATCAACAAAACATGTCATTTGACTGGGGCGCCCAAACGTTTGCAAACAACTGAATATAGTGTTGCATTGTTTTTATCAGACATTTTCTCCCTGAACAAAACAATGTCTCAAGCACACAAGGACACATATGCAGATATTAACAATGATCTAGGCAGAGGTGGCAGAAGTACACTTACTTAAGTAAAAGTCCTAGTAGTCTAGTAAAAAATACTTAAGTAAAAGTTGAAGTATGACTTACATTTTTTACTCAAGTAGAAGTATAAAAGTACATGCTCTCAAATGTACTTAAAGTAAAAAGTGTTTTTTTTTAAAAAACAAAAAACATTGCTAGGATATATTGTTACTGATGGTTAGAGGCATTGTTTGTGAAACTGAGCGTACATAATGGTCATAATGGTTTATACTAGACCTGAAGGCATCATCCACAAAAATCCACTTGTTTAGAGCACCCAAACAGGTTTCCTCTACAACAATTTGAGATTGTTGGAATCTGTAGTGAGTAAAAGTAAAAAGTATTACGTGACTCCAATAAAGTACAGATACCTAAAAAAATTACTTAAGTACAGTAACAAAGTACTTGCACTTCATTACTTGCCACCTCTGCTGGACAGCAGGCTCTTATCAGTGAAGAGAAGTTGCATGTGACAGAAGGTGCACTAAGCATGTTCACCCACATTGATAGACTGCTTTTGTCTCCAGGGTGTCCTTGTACTGCATGCAGGATGATTTGTGTGTCAGCACATCAAGAAAATTCCTTTCATTGTTCAAGGGAACTACTTTCACCTCTGTGTGATGACTTCCTTGGAAGGTGCAAAAAGTAACTGTGCAAACACTGCGCTGCTTAATCTTTACGTTTGTTTGCTTTCGCTGTCTAGAACTTGAGAGTGCGCAGCATCAGAGGAACTGAGTTTTTCACTCGCTCATCGAAGAAAGTATGTGGCAGCCAAAGTCAAAAGTTCATGTTTGTTGATGGAGACAAAGCAGTGTCAGGGTCGTACAGGTGAGTTTGTTCACAGTCTGGCATTTCTGTTTAACAGTTAACGAGACAAAGCTCTACACAGAATATGAGCTGATCTAGAATCAGTCTTATTCCGTTCATATTCTAATGAATCTGATTTCATGGACAAGAGTGAGCTTGTTCTAGATCAGTTCCCTGACTTCAAGATCTTTAATAAATGCAAGCTTTATGTGTTCTTTTCTAATCCAAAGCTTTTGTTGTTTCAGTTTCACATGGACTTCCTCCAGACTGGACAGAAACATCATTACCGTGCTTACCGGTCAAGCTGTGGACACGTTTGATAAGTTATTTCGGGACCTATATGTGACGTCTAATGGTGTGAACCTGAACAAGATTAATCTGGACGACGAGCCCAAGCCAGAACCTGCTCCTCAGACAGTACCCGCTCCAGTGCCCTCAGCCGCTATGGCCCTCAAACTCATCAACCCAAAATACGCTCTGGTCTCCAGTAGTGCTACTGCCAAAAGCAACCGCACACCTTCTGAGAGGTGCATGCGCAAGGTCGCCAGTGATAAACAAATGAAAGAGGTGCCAGAGGCTCCACAAATTCACCCTGGACTCCTCCACCTAGAAAAAGCCAACATGATTGAATACCTGCCTATTTGGCCTGAGCCTGACCCGCCGAGTGATGTGATTGGGTTCATTAACATAAGAGACTATAATAAACCACTACAAGCCCACCTCATGCGTTCAGAACTCTTTGAGGTTTCACAGGCCATCCGATTCAAGGACCCCTTTCATGTGACAGAGGAGCCCCTACCTGAGAAGGCTTTTCCTAAACCTAGACTGGAGTTCCACAATCCTCTAGCTAATGAGCAACCACTTATGCAGCCACAAACTAGCCCAGAGGAAAACAACAGGCAAGCCAAACCTCTTGACCAAATGCAACTTCTATCTAGTAGCCAGAAAGAAGAGTCTGTATTTTGGACATCCAGTGATAAGGACGAGAAAGATTCACTTGGTATGGAAAAGCAAACCGACTCCTTGCCTATGCAGAGAGAAGAAATTAATACTAACTGTCAGTGCTCTGCTAAAAACATTACAGCTAGTGCAAGTAGTGAACAGTATAAAGGTCACCAAATATCAGAGAATCCACAGCTTGAACCTGTAACCTCTGCTTGCACTGAATCTAAATACTCATCACTGGCATCGAAAACAATTCATACCTCATTAGCACACACTGAAACTACCTCCGTCACACAAAGCACTGACCAAGCAACAGAAGCTATGAGGACAACAGCTGTCCAAGACAATCAGAGACTTAAAAATAAAGACAAAGAACCAGACACATATGAAACAAAAGGTGTAGACCGTCATAGTGCAGAGACCCCTAATTGCGACTCAAATTTTTCTTCCACATCAGAGGAGTACTTTGAGTGCAGTGACTCTCTTGCTGTTGACTCTAGATTTGAGGATATTGTTAATGGTATGCCGACTTGTTCTGGGCTTTCAGAGCAGGACTGGCACCTGGATGACTCTAATAACACTGTCACACACTCCCTGTCCTCCATAACACTGCAGCTTGAGCAGCTGGCACTAATGGCCAACTCATGTGAGCGTGAGTCAAGCAACGACAGCCTGAAAGAAACTGAAAAGCCTCAGCCTCGTTCCGCATTACAAGAACGCCGGGACAGACGTGTAACAGGGATGACTATTCACTCAGAGCCAGAGGACACAGAAGCAGCTTTAGTGATCGAAGTTGACAGACTGTCTGAACCAGTTTTTAAAGATGATAAAGAGCAAATACAAGAACCAGATGCTAGCTCACAACTGGCATCAGAGAGCAAACCATTTGCTAACTCACTGGAAGCTAACAATGATTCATGTGGGGAAAAGCCAGATAGGCAGAGTGACGAACTACCACTACATAAAATAGAACATACATCATATTCAGTAGTAAATGATGCGCTTGGCTTCAAACCTGTGGAAGTGGATAACGTTAGTAAATCAGAATTAGCAGAGAATAAGCTGTCCAAATCAGTGCAGCGGGGCAAATCAGCAGCACCTGTTGTATTCGTCCAGACAAAGACTGAGTCTCAGTCCATAGTATTCTCTGACAGGGTTACAGAGGTGCCACTGCTGACGTTAAAGCCTGAACTGCATTCAGGACTCAATTACACATCCAACCTCACTTCTGCTATTGAAGTAAATGATGTCAAGCATCAGAAGACTGTAGCTACCGTCAGTGCAGCTCTTCAGAGTGAATCACATGCTAAAAGAGTACATGAAGAGAATTGCAATCTGCCTGCTTGGCCTGCTGATACCAAAGAGCTGATGATCGCAGAGAATTTTGACCTTGAGCAGGCAGTCGAGGTAAAGGGTGACCACAACTCTGTGCCAGAGCTGAAGGAGAATGCAGTAGAGCCAGCTGTGGACATCAAGGGCAAAACTGAGCAATCAGGACAGAAGACCATGACTGGTCTAAAACTTGCAAAACACAGTGCAGATGCTCATTCCTTAATATTGTCGGGAAAAGATGAACGAGTACGGCAACATACCTGTACATATCGTGAACATAGGAACCGGCCTGAGGCAAAACCCAAGTTAGAAGGAGATGTGAGAAAGGTAAGGATTCCTTTCTATAACAAATTAATTGCTAAACCAGTATTACCTTATTAGCATATAACTAGATGGACAGCATTCAAGAGAGGTCACACTCACTCTGTCACATAACAATATTTAATGCTTTATTTGGTCATCATAAGGCCTTCATCAAATGGACCTTTTGACTTAATAAGGCTTTTTGATTTATGGTTGCGTCTCACCGACAGTTGGTTGAGGCACCTTCTTTTTCTTTTTTACTTGTTTTTTTCTTGGTCCAACAGCATTAAAGAAAGAGTTATGTTACAAAATGCAATAGTGGTGAGGGAATGAGGAACGAAAAGCCTAAGAAACAGAAACAGTTCAGTTAAACTGAAGTATATTACTATTCACAGCTACGTCGGCCCTCACCTAAACCTATCCGAACACCCCAAGAAGCCAGAGGTGGTTCAACTAAAGCATCTGTCACCAAACTGCACAGCAGTAATCATCCTACTAGGCCTGTGGTGGCAACACTTGGAACTCAAAGTTATCCACATGGAAAGCAGTTGGGGCAAAACAGGGCTGGTGATGCACTACCAACACTTCCTGACAAGCTTTCAACCCGACGCACAGCTACCACTAGGTCAAGCCAAAGTCAGCTTGGACGTTCTCGGACAGAGCCTTCACCGGGCCGTCTCAGCTCTTCCCAGAAACAGCCTCAAGCTCAGCTGGACAGAACCAGAGCCATTCAATCTGGCCAGTCCAACACCCGGCAGCGTTCAACATCCACAACAGAAGATAGCCTGTCCTCTTCTGGCACATCACACCTAAGGAGATCAAGAAGCTTTAAAGAGAGAATTACCCGACCCCCCCTTAAGCAATCAGAAAATGACCCTGAGTATTAAAGGGAAAGAACAAGAACCATAATTTTAGTCTTGCTGGTACTTTAATGTGTTTTTATGGTAGTATTTGGTATTTTCTTTAAATTTTGGATTCAAGTCACTGCCCAACGTTACTGTCTGCAGTGAAAAATCTTGCAAAATGTGAACGTGTGCTACCTATTGAGCCCGAAGCTGTAGCTGTTGGCATCTCCATTCTGCCTGGTTAAGACTTTGACAGAGACCCAAAAGCAGGCAGTCTGCTTGTGATATGAATGGGCTTTTGCTTGCCTCAGTGAACCCAGGCTCTGTCCCTCCTGCTGTGATGTTGCTGCCACATCAGGTTTGTGCAGCACCTTCAGCCATTTAACTTTACATCCTTTCTGCAAATTACAGAGAGACTTATATTTGCATCTCTCAGCGAAAGCAGTATAATTGGCACTGTGATTAGCCATTTATATGGAAATGGTCTGTTTTACTCTGCGGTGCCTTGGAAATAAACAACCAGGAGTGTGATTAAATCTTTATGTCTGCAAATCCTGTCACTAAATTACAATGTCTGCTTTCCTGCTGGACAGATATAGGGAGAAAAGGCAGACCAGATGTTGCATGTGAACAAAGAAATGCTGTTTCTGGACCAGCTTCATGTCTTAGAACTTATTTATTGTACAGCAGGGTGGAAGAGCCTAGAGCAGAAGTTCTTAAACCGGTTCTCATGATGATTCCCAGGTCCCAAGACACTTGAACCAAGCCATTAAAACACTGAATACCTGCTATAGGTGTGTTGGGAGCTGGAACAGAGCAACAATGTGGATCATCTAGGGGGCCCTGAGGACTGCTTTATAGAGAATGCCATGTACTAAAAGACAGATACCTTAAAATGTCATTCTGACTGAGCAATTGAAGGAGAGTACTCTGATGACTTTGCAAATTACCTAATGAATGCATGGCATTAGGCTGGGTGTGCTGTTCCTGAGGCTGTGGGTGGAGGCATTCTAAGCGCTATTTCATACTTTAAAAAAAGCAACAAAATACAAACGCTTTGTGCTGACTATCCCTGGCTCACAATGACTAGAGAGCAGTTGGAAGTGGAAAATTGCAAAGGGCAAGTTTTCAGATCAATTTTTGAGGAGCGATTATCAATTCAAATTTTCTCCCAGTACGATCTGGATGAGCTTTGTGCTTATACAGCAAGCAAATGTGTCATATCAGCAGCAGCAGGCAAATTCTAGCTATAAGGGCTACTGCAACATTTCAAAGAGTGAGAGAAAGCAGAACAGACAGAAAGAAACTCATATGGGCACATGAAGGGTTACGAAGTGCACTGCTAATTGTATTATAGGCAAAATGCATTCCACTGTGTTTACAGACATAAAACGTGATAAAGATACAAGTACATAAAATAAAGGGGAATTTCACCAATTCTGTAAAATCTCTACATAAATAAATTGTTATGTGAACACAGTAATAGAAAGTGTTTTGATGTGAAATGTGCCATTCTGGAGAAACTTGTGGAGTCAGAATTGTTCATAATGGTGGTGATGGGAACCAGACGTTTCAAATGTTTATTGCTTGTAAAAGCTCCCTTCCAGAAAGCTATTACATGAAATGATTATGAATACACTGCCTGATGTCAATGAGACATTGTTTATGATGGTTTTGAAAGAAGGTTTTGGCCTTAAATTTGATTTTTAATCCATTTGTGGTGGAGAGGTACATGTAGGGCATTGTGAGGCAAAACAGTCCAAAGATTTACCATTACTTTGCCATTATCAACATTACATACAAAAACTCAGAGGACATGTGAAGGTTCACTGGTAGTTTGGGATAGTAAATAAAATAATTTACACTGTACGCATTGTGACCCCTGATTCCTATCACCACCACTGTAAATTAATCATTTAGTTTCTCTACAACCATTTCACAACAAACTACCCTGAACAACTTTGTTTACATCACAACCATTAAATGATGCAGAAATGTCATTAAATAAGTGGCTGCTATATATGCTTACTTAGAGAACAAATTTTGAGAAGTTCTATGGGTAGGTGGAGAAGTTACTCAAAAGCCTTTTTCTACAAAAACAGGAACAATGATTATGCCAGTGTGCTACTAAGAATATAAGGGATCTCCAGAGACACAAGAAGTGTGAACATGGTGTTATTATTAAGCTCATGAGTGAAAAAGAAACTCGTGGGTTTCTGCATGAATGGTCCAAAATGTGATCTGATCTTAATGTAAATCAATAAGATCTTACTGTAATAATAAAAAGGGAATTTTTATTTAACCAACTGCATGCAATATTCTCCATTTCTTTATTAAATGGTTTGAATAATTAAAATGTCTTTTAAAATTTTATATGTCTTTTAAAACACAAAAGGCAAAAGAGCTGACACTGAGACTATGTTGGTGTGCATGTAAACAAGACTGTAAATGCAAACTCTTGTCAGCATCTTGGTTCGGTTTGGTTAAATTAAGAACTTAGTCAGGCTATTTATGCAAATGTAGTTAATGATTGCAAGGTATACAAGCCCTGAGGCAGCACAGCACTCCCATCCCATCCCACACTCCCTCCACCATGCTTCACACTTAGGTATCAGTGTCGGTGTGCAGTGTTTTTTTCTCGAAATACAGAATGACTAACATAAGCATTTACCAAAAAGTTCAACTGTTGGCTTATCTGTCCAAAATGTTTCACTCTTCCCCTCAATGACTGCAGGCGGCAAAGCCGTCTCATCCCATTACTTTCCCTTCACCATGCTTCATAGAGGTGCAGTTTTGGTGTTGGTGTGTGGTGTAAGCATAACAAACATTTTGCCAGAAAGTTAAACTCTGTCCAGTAGTGCTGTGGAACCTCCAGACTGTCTTTATCAAACTTGAAATGAGCAGTAAGTGAGTATTTAAACCCCAGGACTTTCTGTCATTTATATGAAACTTTTATGTCATACCCTTTCATTGAACTTTGTAGGACGCCCACTTCCAGGAAATCCTAAAGGTTTGTCTGTAAACTTTCTGCCTGACAGTGAGTCAGTGGTGAACAGTGACTATTGAAGCTATGCCTTCAATATAGCCAAAACATGAGGAAAAAACCCACCTCTATGATAATGGTAATTTCTACTTTGTCCCTATAATTTGTTAGCATTAAGCTAAAAGCAATTCATATTAAAATGTTTTGGCCATTCTAGATTAAACATCCATGTTTTAGTTGGAGCTTGAAACTTGTGACAGACATATTAGCATATGTTTTACCTTGTACCAGTTTCACAGAGACTCTTTCAGTAGAGGGACTGGTGTAGAGCTGCCATCACTGTTTTTCATTTCTAACAACCCACTGATTAGACTGTGACTCATATTGACATATGTAGAACTTCCAGAAGGCCTACAGTGACTTCTCACAAAATTGGTCCTGCCCATTGGAAATCAAAATGTGATTGATTGATTCCTCAGTCATTTTGTAATTATGCTGGTAGTTAATCTAACACATTGGGGCTTCTCTTCAGCTCTTCAAGAGATTGCTTTGCTGTATCTATCTAGATACCAGAGAAGAAAACTATTCCCGACTGTCCAGTTTTCCTTTGGACCTTTCAAGAATTGAGCCCTTTTGTTTCCATTCAAAACCTAACAATGAAACAAGTGTAGTACTATAATACTTGCAGATATTAAATAAAAGCATGATTCTATTGAATAAAATGAACATGAACAGACATGCACTTTTACAACCCCATTTCCAAAAATGTTGGGCAAAATGTAAATAAAAACAAAGGGCAAGGATGTGCAAATCATTCAAACCCTATATTTAATTGAAAATAGTACAAAGACAACAAATCAAATGTTGAAACTGAGAAATGTTATTATTTTTTGAAAAATATTTGCCCATTTTGAATTTAATGCCAACAACACGTTCCAAAAAAGTTGGGACAGGGGCAATGAAAGGCTGGTAAAGTTGTGTAATGCTAAAAAAACACCTGGTGGTTAATTGGCAACAGGTCAGTAACATCACTGGGTATAAAAAAAGCATCCCACAGAGTCTGAGTCTTTTCGAAATAAAGATGGGGAGGGGTTCACCACTCTGTGAAAGACTGCATGAGCAAACAATCATTGCTTTTTATCATCTACGGTACATAATATCATTAAAAGATTCAGAGAATTGGGAGAAATCTCTGTATGCAAGGGACAAGGCTGAAAACCAGTATTTGCTGGCCATGACCTTTGGGCCCTCAGGTGGCACTGCATTAACAGACATGATTCTATAGAGGAAATCACTGCATGGGCTCAGGAACACTTCTGAAAACCACAGTCTGTGAAAACAGTTCATCGCTGCATCAACAAATGCAAGTTAAAACTCTAAAATGCAAAGAAGAAATCACATATAAACAGGATCTAGAAATGCTGCCACCTTCTCGGGCTTCATTTGAAATGGACTGAGGGGAAGTGGAGAAGTGTCCTGTGGTCCGACGAATCAAAATTTGAAAATCTTTTTGGAAATCATGGACATGTGTCCTCCGGGCGAAAGACCACTCAGCTTGTTATCAGCACACAGTTCAAAAGCCAGTATTCTTGATGGTACATGGGTGCATTAGTGCATGTCATGGGTGACTGGCACATCTGTGAAGGCACCATTAATGTTGAATGATATCTACATGTTTTGGCAACATATGCTGCCATCCAGACAATGTCATTTTCAGGGAATGCCTTGATTATTTCAGCAAGACAATGCCAAACCACATTCTGCATGTATTACGACAGCATTGCTCTGTATTAAAAGAGTCTGGGTGCTAAACTGGCCTGCCTGCAGTCCAGACCTGTCACCCTCTGAAAACATTAGGCACATTAATAGATGAAAAATACAACAAAGGAGACCCAGAGATGTTGAGCAGCTGAAATCCTATGTTAAGCAAGAATGAGAAAACATAGCACTTTCAAAATTACAGCAACTGGACTCCTCAGTTCCCAAATGCTTATAGAGTGTTATTAAAAGAAGAGGTGATGAAAAACAGTGGTAAACATGCCCTCATCCCAACTTTTTTGGAACATGTTGTTGACATTAAATTCAAAATTTTTCAAAAAACAATAAAATTTCTCAGTTTCAACATTTAATTTGTTGTCTTTGTACATTTTCAATGAAATATAGGGTTTAAATGATTTGCACACCATTGCATTTTGTTTTCCATTACATTTTGCATAGCGTCCCAACTTTTTTTGAAATGGGGTTGTAGTTCCCAAAAATAATTTGACATTCTCTGAAGGCCTAGAAGGCCCTGAGGGTTCTCCACTGCTGTAGATGGAGGTTAGAATTTTTTGTAACCCTCTCCAGTCTGAGCTTCAACAACTTCACTTTGGAAGTCCCCTGACAGCTCTTTTGGTTGGATACTGTGTGTATGTGTGCATGTGTGTTTTAATATGGCAAAATGAACTCATTGGAAGTCATTCTTCCATAGGTTTACATACTCTTTCCATCAATGACTTGACAACAATCATTAAAACCATATATTTAAAAGATATGGCCATGCATAGAACTCTGTGTTGTTTGTTAAATAAGACTACCTGGTTTTAGAAGATCGGTACTATAGTCCATCTGCACTGTGCTTTCCACATACCTGTGTCACAACATTAAAGATCCAGTCCTTCTACAAAACACAGAACTGTAATAGTGGACTCGAGCTGGGAAACAGTGACTAATTTATCAGCAACCCTGGGTCTGAGAAAGGTGCCATAGAAATACAATGTATAATTATTAGTATTATTATCCGCAAGCTTGGATCTGAGAAATATGCCATATAAATAAAATGTAACATTATTAATATCATTGTCAGTTATTAGCAGCTTAGTTTACATTCTAAACATTGTTCATGAAAAAACAAGGATAAAAAAATTTTAATAAGACAATCTTACTAAGGGGTTTTATGTCTTTTTTAAGTTGTGGATGTGAAAGAGGAATTACTGCCAGACAGCTTTGGTAGTTCCTCATGAAACTGGGTATAAGATGAGCTTATGCCATAACCACTCTATAGTTTTTAAACTGTATCATGGTATATAGAGTTGTAAATAAGGATTATTAAGCAGGGATACTGATGAACGTGATGTCTGGTAATCTGACTTGGTGAGACCTAAGGAAAAGTTTTCTAAGCATTTATAGTCATTCAGTTTTCGAAGTATAATACCAGTATGCCTGAAAACACATCTAGTTCCTCTTGCTAAAAACAAGTTGGAACAAAATCCTCCTCTCTGTACCCTGCTCAGCATCTAGAAAAACAAAATGCAGAGACAATGCATGGATATTCCACTAAGTCCCCCGTCATTTCCCCTGTCCTGCTGTGAACCACCTGCACACTGCGCATGAGAGGCTGTTAAAGCAGATGATTGGGGATTCACACCCTTTTCCTGGGGAAAAACTCACACAAACACACACACACACACACACACACACACACACAGTCAGACTGGTATGCTTGCAGTGGCACTGCAGCAGTCCCACAATTACCAACAGGAGCACAACAGAGCTGTCAGAGTGCATTTAAGTGATGAGTTATGAAAACAGATCTACTGCATAATATATTCACTAAACCACTCAACTGACAGCATTAACCACTTTAGGCTAATCTTGCATGCAGTTTTTATGCATGCTGTGCATGGAGTGCCCTCTGCTGACCTTACTGCTGAAGTTGAGAGCCCATGCAGTTTACACTAATCTTACAAACTTCAATTCCTAAAAAGTTTGGACAGCATGTGAAATGCAAATAAAAACAGAAAGCAATTATTTGACTTGTATTTAAATGAAATGAATGTTTAACTTTATCAGCTTTGATGTTTTTTGTGAATATGCAATCATTCTGAAACTGATTCCTGCAACAAACTTTAAGAGGACCCAAAGTTTTATTACATACTTCTATAATTTAAGAATAGCTCAAACAGTTTGCATTGAAGTCCCTGCAGTTACTGAATAATAAGGCTTAGTATGTATTAAGCCTGGGATATGAAGGGGTTAAGGCAGTTTAACACTAGGAATGTCGTGAAATGTTTCTAAAACATCTTAAAAGGGTGCAATTGTGCTTGGGTGTAGAAAGAGTATCCAGGAAAGGCCTAAGCCTTTATGAGCAAGGACGGGTTGAGGCTCGACGAAAAATACCTCATTGAATAATCCAAGGGTGCACAAAAGTGTCTCCAGCAAAGTTTTGTAGCTCCCCTACTCAAACACACCCACTAAACCTGGCAGTTAACAGAAGAACGTAATAAGGTGTGTTTAAGAAGGTACATCACCCAATTCTGCTGGACACTGGGCCTCCATGACCGGAATTGTGCACCCCTGGAATAATCCAACAGTTCAAGAAAAACATTCCTCAACTAGCGATTGCAAGGATTTTAGGTATTTCATCCACTGGTGCATAATACTGTAGCATGTTCAAGAAATGCTTTAATGTGATAATTTTAGGTTGGTGTTCTTTAGCATTTATTCACTGGGTCATTTGCTAAAGACTCTTACTGTAGAGCCAGAAACTGCCAGGGGAAATGTGTGTGAGTATGCTTGAGCTGGGAGAGTGAGAGGCAAATGTGAGCTGAGTCAGAGAGCGAACTGGTAGAGAAAAGCTTTGCTTATATACAGCGAGACAACAGCTGTCTAATAAAGCACCACGACTTGTGTGAAAGATTCAGAGAATTTGGGGAACTCTTTGTGCATAAAGAGCAAGGCCGAAGGCCACAACTAAATACCTGTGACCTCATATGGCACTGCAGAAAAACCATGCCTCTGTGATGGATATCACCATGTGGACTCAGCAATACTTTAACAAACCATTGTTATTAAACTCCACTCATTTCTGCATCCAGAAATGCAGATTAAGGCTGTACAATGCACAGCAGAAGCCATATGTCAACAATATCAGAAACACCACCTTACCTGGGCTTAAGCTCATCTGAACTGATATACAGTGGAAACGTGTATTGTGGGCTGACAAATCAATTGTTCAGATTGTTTATGGAAATAATGGACACTGTGGGCTCCAGGCTAAAAAATGAAAAGGATTATTCATACCTGTGTACCAGCATAAAGTTTAAAAGTCAGGCTCTGGTATGATGGTGTATTGGAGCCCATGGTCTAAGTAACTTGCACATCTGTGAAGGCACCATTAATGCTGAAAGATACACACACAGTTTGAAGCAACATATGCTGCCTTCTACATGAACTTTTTTTAAGGGACATCCATTTTTGTTTCAACATAAAGCCATGCCACATTCAGCAGGTGTTACAACAGCATGGCTGTGCAATCAGAAAGTGTGGGTGCTAGACTGGCCTGCCTGCAGTTCAGACTTGTAAGCGCAAAATATGGCAGCAGAGGCTCTAAATGATTGCGTGGTCAAAGACTTGTATATCAGAGGACTGGCAAAAAAAATCCACTTTCAAAACTATATCAGTTGATGTCTTCAGTCCCCAAACATTAATCGAGTTGTTAAAAAGTAAAGGCGATGTAACATAGTGGTAAACTCCTGCCCCAACTTTTTTGGAATGTGTTGCAGGCGTCAAATTAGGAATGGGAATATTTGGTGGGAAAAAAAAAAAAAACATTTTTTGCTAAAACATCTTTTCAATTTAATAGAGAAACAGAATTTACTAAATCACTGCTCTGTTTTATTAGCACTTTACATTTTCTTTGGAATTGCGGTTTGTACATCAGACACATAAAATCAGAGTTATTCTTTATATTATTTTATTTATTCATCATCAAGTGCAGTGAATAAATATAAAAGCCTGATAGATTAGTACCATAACAAAAACCCTGACCAGAAAATGCGAGAAACATCAAGTTCTCTTAGGCAACACACAGCATAATAATGACCACTACTTGAGTTATGAAGCAAGAATGCTCCTATGGTCCCCTTATTGGCAAAAGCTTTTATATTTGCTGAAGCATCAGTGGAGCATCTTAGAATGAGTAACATTCAGCTCTGTACATTGCTCGGTCTCTCTATTTCTAGTTTAAGCTGCGATCGAATACTGCACATTAAATGTCTACAGTGGAAATTTGCATTTAATCTTCTTGTAAAAAATAAATATTCATTAAATCTATCATAAGTGCTGCCCAGCACTAACCAAATCAATTACACGACAATCGTCCAGTGACACAGTGATTACACAAGTCTCGAAGCGATGACACTGGTATTCAGTATTCTGGCATCATGCTAACAGATGACTACTGTATTATTATCTAATGTCGTTGGCCACATGTAGGAGTTCTGACTCCCCAAGAACTAGAACAGAAAGTCCCAATCACTTAACACTCTGACACAACAAAGTACTTTGCCCCCGATCAACTGTTCCAAGGGGTATCAACCTAGCATTCAAATCCAGTGAAACACCCAGTGTTCCTTAAATCATTACAAATCAGTGACCAAAACTCAATCCATCAATAGAGGTTGTTTCCATTAATCTGCTCTTTTTCAAGCATTTCTGAGAATTCCACCGCAGCAATTAATGAGTAAACTCACATCACAAAAATAAACATCTTACAAATAATGGTGGCCTTTGAACACATAAACACAGAATTTAATGTAGCAAGCTACACAACATAAACATCAGCAAGAAAAAAAAAATGCATTTTTGACTCTTGGCCACATGTACATACAAATGAGTGGGGGGGAAATGGATCTATGTGCACATTATGCAACTGGCAGTGACGAGGAAGCAGCCAGCAAGACTGTCAATCATCCATGCCTATGTTGCGGAACAGGTAAGACATTGATTCTCCATTGTGTATGCGCCGAATTGCCTCAGACAGGATCATGCTGATGTCGACCGTCTTGATCTTTGGACACTGCAGTTTCTGGATCTCGTGTGGAATGGTGTTCGTGACAACCACCTGCAGAGGGAGTGTGGGGTAAAACAGCTTGAGTGCAAAGACAAATGCAGGATCGTTCATTTTGCTACTCAGTTTTTATTGTTAGTAATGGACAACGGAATTATTTTAGTGATACCCAACTACAGACCTCATCAATAGCGGACTCCTCTATGAGACGAGGTGCATCAGAAGAGAGAATTCCATGAGTAGCCATGACGAAGATTTTGTAGGCACCTCGCTCCTTCAGTGTTTCAGCTGCTGCCAGGAAACTATCGACATCATCAATTATATCATCCTATAAATGAGGGGAGGAAAAAAAAACAAAAAAAACAAAATATGATCAAGTCAGCAGAAAATAAGGAATGTTTCATGCAAAATGTATTACACTGTAAACATATTTATGTGGGCTATACCTCTATATTATTATTTATTTTACAAGTTTTATACCTGGAGATGTCACAGTCCAAAAAAATGTCACAAATTATTGATACATCAATGTTATCTAATTACATTTGATAATGCTAAATCTGCAGGTTGCCAGCATTTGCTGATATCAATAGGCTGATGATACTAGTAGGGTGCTGGTGGAGGATATTCTGTTTTGAGCTGAAGGAAACAATTTTTTTTTCTCTTACAGATAAAAACAGTACAATGACAGAATGTTCTATATATGATGCAAAGGAGTTGTACTGGAATGTGTGTAATGCAATTTAAAAGAATTTTCCATTAAAGGAGGGAAGCAACTGCCTGTTAACTATAAGGAAAAACATACTGGTAATGCTGTTGCCAGCACATTTTTCTGTTTGTTTTGCAGATTTTTTAACACTGTAGACAAGTGTGGTAAAAAATTAAATCTTTGATGAATAGAACACTTTCAGATTTAAAACTCACCACAATAATGGCAATTCGGCCACCTACATCTCCCACCACAGTTATTGGAGGCTTTTCTTTTGGAATCAGCACTGGTCATGAAGACAACAAAGAGATTCACAAAAACATGAGTGATCTTCAGTGAAACAAGCCATAGGAACCACAGTCCAAATGTTCAAAATAAGGTGCTCACATGGTATCTCCAGACTTGGATGGATGGCTCCCATGTTTTTCACTGTAGGTGGAGAGTGTCGTCCATCCACAAGATCTGATTCAGCATCCTGCGCTTCACCATGGATCACAGCGATGCCCAACCGAAGCCTTTCAGCAAATGACTGGGCCCTGCAAAGCACAGGGTGGAGATCACAGCTCATTTGCTCCACGCCTTCTCTGATAGAGTTCACACAAGCTGTGAGCCTACCTTTTAGCTGATGCTGGAGACTTGGCCACAATTACAGCGTTTCTGTAGTCAGGGATCTGCATGTTTGGGGAAAAGAGGAACACTCAGAAGATCATGTAGACACATACACTCATACAGAGTCTGAACAGCCATCCACTGAATACTGTATCTGAACATGTGCTTTAGAGAGAACATAAAGTCAGAGTCAAGATAAGAATAACCTTGAAAAGCCTAAGGGTATTACAGCTAGTTTAATATTCACTCCATATCTGGCAATTACAGTTCTGGATGTCAGCAGATTTATACTTCTAAAGCACAAACAGACTTCACAGCAAACACTGCAACTACAGGCGTACCTCTTCCTGAATATACTGCAGCAGAAATGGAGATGCTCGCAGGTTGTCTACTGGAATGTTAAAGAAACCTTGGATTTCCTTTTGGTGCAAATCCATAGTGATGAGATGAGTAAGACCTGGTCAAAATTTAACAAAACTGAGTGTTTGAAAAGAGATGTTGCTTTGAGTCAAACTGGTACAAATTACCTAGATAATCTACAAGGACCCATGACCTAAAAAGCCTAGTTTTTATCACAGATAGATTTGATCTACTATAGAAGTAACCTGCAATACGCAAACAATAAACACAAATGTTAAGAGGAGACTGCGTAGCCAACCAATTCAAACAAAAAAATAAATAAATAAATAAAATAAAAGATAAAAACAGCTTTACCTGCTTTACACATCATTGAGGCCAGCAGCTTGGAGACAATGGAGCCTCTCTTCCTCATTTTGCACTGTTTACTGTAAGGAAAATAAGGAATGACTCCGATGATATTTCGGGCACAGGAGGTCCTACAGGCATACACCATGATGAGCAGCTCCATGATGGTTGTATTAACATCCCTGTGGGCGAAAAGGGAAAACTTGATCAGTAGTTTCCAAATGTAGTGATTAAGAGAAAAGACAAAAAGAGAACACACACACACACACACACACACACACACACACACACACACACACACACAAAATGGGAACATTCCTATTTTAGCAAATCAACACAGTATTGGACGTTGATACTGGACTTTAATAACACTGAAAACAAATGAATACAAAAGATGTAAGCCTTACTTGGATACAGTTTGGATGATAAAGACATCTTTACCACGCACAGACTCCTGGATCTGAACTCTCGTTTCTGTGTAGAGACAAAGACCTGTTACATACACATTCTATTATTTTGTGCGAATACTGTTTGTGAAGAACTATCGTCTGATAACAAGGCAATGCAAATGACTCCTGAACCTGAAAATACAAAGATTTCACTACAGAAAGGTTGCTATTACAATCTCATGATGTGTATACAAGTCCATTACACCCTAGTACAAACAGACAGAACAAAGAGTGTCATTTTCATTGGTGAGCCATAGCCCAGCCACCCACTTTGTTTTGTCTACACTTTCTGGCGAGGAATGCAAAGAATGCGCAGCCCCTCTGCAAAATCAACAATTCAGCTTGTGACCTCAACCACTAAATGATGTTAACAGGGCTAATTTGTTACCGTTAAAGTAGATTTATCCTGCAAATAACCTCAGATCAAGACACTAATGGTGTAATGATTTCAATACAGTATGCAAAAATTAAACTAAAAAAAAAAAAATGCATTGGTGATGTGCTCCTCATTGGACGGTTTCCAACTTGCCATATTTCATGAAAACCATCTACTGTACCTGAATAGTGAAATGAAAGTTCATTTCCAATCTTCTTATCTTGATTTTGAATTTGATCTGTAGCCCACTGCCTCAATAAATATACTGTCAGAGCTAAGTAGCATGTGGATCCACATGACTGCCAGGTCAGGCAAAATCAAGGAATGTGGACAGGAAAGGAAGTTTCTTTCAACTATTCAGATGGAGCCACTCTCAGTAACCAAAACTAGGTATCTGGCTGCATGCATCTTATCTGCATAAATAGGGAGGGAAGCAGGATTGGGTTATACTAGAGGTGGACAATATAACAACATTTTATCAATATTTTGTTTTAGTGATAAACAATATTCTTTTCTGACCATATTGAGGATAATGTCCTCACTTGAACACTGACCATGAGCATGCTCCATATCACAGTAAGCACTGTGTATCGTGAAAATATCTAAATATTGCACAGTTTTTCCACTGCTAGTTTTCGTTTTAGTAACAGCACACACACACAAGCTCAAGCGGCTGATCTTTTTTTTTTGCTGTAAATATGAATTTTTCTGCGCCAGAGCAATCTGCATAGTATACAATAAGAGCTCTGTAAAATCATGACAGTCAAAAATATCCAATATTGACCTCAATTTTAAAAGTCAAACTGAATCTGTTAGCATGTATATTGTTACACCCCTACAGATCATCAACCAATCTCCTAACATTTCTGTTAGAGCTTAGCACGTCAGATAAGGGATAGTGTGTGTCATCTCACCTCTGTTAGCCTCCTGATAGACCTGCACCTTGCCAAGCTCCACACCCAAGCGTCTGTGGCAAATAAGTGTGATCAAAAGGAAAATGAGAAATAAGGAGGGAAAAAAAAAAAACAGTAATTATCAGTAAGATGAAGGGGATTTCAAGACACAGTAGACAAACTGAGGAAAGATACAGGTAGGGTGAATTATTAACCTGAGTTTTAGTCAACTCAGGGACAGACAAGTGACTTTTCAGCTGAGCAGTTAAAACTTCCATACTATGCCGGTAGTTTCACCAGCCTAAATAACATGCCTCAAAATGAGAAGCCTAAGAAGTTGAAGTAACAAATATACCACACAAAACACAGCTAAACATCATTCCATGAATGTGTAAAATTATCTGAAACCAAAATATGAGAATAAGACTACTGCAATAGCAACCTACTCTGCAATCCTTTTACCAAGCTCCCTGCTAGAGGGGTTGGAGTTGGCCGTAAAAATGACCAGGCCTCCTTTTGCGGCATTCATGTCCAGTTGTTTCTTGGTGACTACCACAAGGGACTCAGGCAGTGGCTCCCTGGGCTCCCAGGCACTGCTGAGCCCTTCCTAATAACAGTATCACAGGCAGACTGTTAGTTTAACACCACACAACGCGAGTATCTCTGGTCAAATCCTGTAAGAGAAATAAGAGGAATGCAACACATTCAGCTATTACAAACACAATTAAGTGAAATTTTAATTATTTTTTGTAATATTTTGCATCGGCCAACGCTCCAGGAATGTACATATGGTTGCAAGAAAACATAGGTCAATTAAAACATTACGAACAACAGCTCTTCAGAAGACAAAAAAAAATACTTATACCGTTGTAAGCGTCCCCTGACAATACGGTTTTCCCAGGACAAGACAAAAACACAAGAAACCTACTGCTAGCCTGTAGGGCTAACCTATTAGCTCACTTTTAACGTTAATACAAGCTGCTGCCAAAACAGTGCCAAGCAGTGCAAACACCTTGGAAATATCTCCAAAAATCCCAAGTAACGTTACAAAAGTCGTGGCGTACCGTACAGACTCTCCTTTGCTAACTTATGTAGCTTAGCTAACTAACTAACGTTACACATGGAGTGAGCTGCTAACGAGTCAGCTAGGTTAACTAGCAGATGCTGGAAAGCGGACAGCAGCTCTACTGCCAGGTTCATCTTCTGCCAAATTCACAACCAAACTCACTCTAACACGTAACCTATAAATAATTATCATAATTTAAACTGATCGACGGTGATTTCTCTTACCAGTTTTATCTTTCGTTCTTTCTTCCCGTCTGATACACTTTGATATAAGCAGAGCACAGTTTTTTAAGTGAGAATCACAGCAACAGTGCTGAATAAGTAATAACGGACGCTGCCTACACGACTTTCAAAATATAAGTCCCAGGCCAAAGACGGTAATCATTAACATTGTTAGCAGCCTGGCAAAAGTAAGCTAACATTAGAGATGTTAGATAATTTTGTGTGACATATGGGACAAAGGCAATGTGGCTATATAATCATAAATAATAATACATTTAGTGCTCACCATGATATCTCGTTATCAAATTCCCAATGTAAAATATCAAAACATTATTTTGTCATTATTATTATTATTATCATTATTTATTATTATTATTATTATTATTATTATTATTGTTATTATTATTATTATTATTATTAAAAAACTCCCGTTCCTAAAATGACGCGATATCCTGAGCGGTGAGGTGACGCAGAGCCCGCTGATTGGAGGATTTGTCGCGGCGAAAGCGGACGACGCTGTTTGGCGCCATTTGCGGGAAAAGGAACTCAGACGGGCTGAATTAATTTTAGATGTTATTTATTTTGTTTTACAGTATCTTGAATGCAGGCAGTTTAAACACTTTCCGTGTTTTTCGCCAGTATTTCCGCTGAAGTTAGTGCTTCTGTATCGATATTCACGCGTGTGTCATTGTTTTTTTGTTAACTCTATGGCGTTTATGTCATTGTTATTGAAGAGTTGTTAGCTAGCCAAGTTAGCCAGCTGGCTTTTTACATATACATTATAAGACACCCGATTAGTCGCTCTTTCGTAGTATCATGAGTTTCATGTTAGTTTAACCACTGTACGTTAGGAAACACCGACAATGTATTATTGGTGCTTTGAAACAAAGAAACACACTGGTGAGTGTCTTCATGACTTTTTCAGTCCAACTTTGTGTCGTTACACATATGCGGGGGGAGCTACAGTACAACTAAAAACGTTCGGGCTGCTTCTCTGGTGCATAAACATTAAGACAAGGACATGAGTTTACAGTGGTACTGGTGGGATAATCGACAGTGTAATAATAGATACTGGACAATTGTTATAGGAGAGGACATAACGTTACAGTATAACTACCCCTGTTAGCTATTTGTTTATGTTGGTTAAATAACGCTGAGGTTTTTCTTTGAAAGTTGCTCTTAGTATACATGTAGCTTAAACACCTAGGTTAAACGCTGTTTTCATTCAAGACAAATTCAGGTGATGTGTTTTGTTGGTGCTGTAACCTTTCATAGATCTATAATTTGGAGATCAACACCAATTATGGCTGGTGCTGTTGCTATGGCAGCTGTTGTTGAAGATTTTGAGGCTACTCAGGTTTGTCATTGTATTGTTTATTAACCTATTGATAGTTTTTTATTACTTTTCATAGTTTGTTTAAAAAAATGTTAAACAACAGTATTTGTGTATTCAGCCTTGCAAGAAGTTGAGGAAAGATGATGATCCGCTACCTACAAGGACCATCAGGAACTACTTCGTGCCCTTACCCAAGACTGTAGAAAAGCCTTTCTCTCCACCTCGGACAAACAACATAATGGATTACTTCACGAAGACATCGCCTGCTCAGGAAAAGATTGGCTCTTTGCAAAAGCACAGTCCCCTTCAGTCCACAGAGTCAGTCAGTTGTCAGGAAATCTCTGCTAAGCTAGGTAGAACACAAAGGCAGAAACGTTCCAAGAAACCTAAGGAGCAGAACAAGCTACAGGAAGAGGAACAGGAGGTGCTCGCTGAGAACTGTGCAGCGTTAGGGAGCCCAGTTGAATCTCTGGTAAAGGACAGTGGCAACTGCTCAGTGCTTGGTAGTGATACTGCAGCCCTGCTGTCTCAGATAAGCAATGACATCTGCTTAGATGAACAATCTGTCGAAAGCAAGAATAACACGGAGACCTGTGCGGCTGACAGAAAAGAGAAGGATTTGTTACAAATTCGGAAAAGCAAGAAAGTAGGTAACCAAAGCAGGGATAGTGATAATTTAGATAATGATAACAACTCACCTGGAGAAGAGAAAGGTAGGAATAAAAAGTCTGTGGTGCATAAAAGCAGGAAGGCAAGAGTCAGCCAGAGTGACTTGTGTACAGAGCAGGAAAAGTCTCTGCATGATGCTAGTCTGGAAGTCAATGTGGATGAGAATTCCCTGCTGAACAGCAGCACCATAACAGTGTCCTTTGAAGACTTTTTACAGAGTCAGAGCCAGGAGGAGGAAGAGGACACTGCAGATACTGAGCCAAACACCTGTGCTACTGAAAACTTAAGTGATGCTAAGTCTTGTTATGATGTGAGTGATTTGGTAGTTGCAGCTCCACAGGTGTCACCAAGAACCCTCACAGTCCAAGCGGAAGTACATCCTCTATCCCCAAATCATGAGACATCTAAGAGCCCTGAAGTAAAAGTAGCATCAATTTTCAGTAGGAATAAAAAGGAGAGCCAAGTAAAAGACAGCAAGACCTCTTCCTCTGCTACCCCTCAGGTGACAGCAGACATTCTCCCTGATCTTAAGAGGAAATCTAATGTTGTTCTTCATGAAGAAGATTTGGAGCTTGCTGTGGTTGAATCCAGCTCCACTCCTAAGTGCACCCAGGAAGAAAGGAAGCAGTTTATGAATGCTTTCAAGCAGCCTAGTCTGGATGGATCTAAAAGTAAAACCAGCAAGAGTTCAGGAAAACTCAAACAGGTCCAGGAAAAAGCTCCTGAGACGGCAGAGAAGGAGCCTGATGAGAAAGCTGTTGAGAACAAGCCTGATGAGACCGGCTCAGAGCAAAATGGTGCTAGCAGTGTTGGGAACAAACGATGTAGAAAGGCTGGGAAGAAAAGACAGACAGATACATCTGAAGAGGTACCAACACCTGCGCCAACACAAGAGGAACTTCCCACATCAGTGGAGATGATCACTGAGAGTGGCTCTGTTGATGATGGCAAAACACAATCTGCCAAGAAGGTGAGGAGGTCTACAAGAGAGAGCACACGCAGACAGGCAGCTCCTGCACCTGAAAGGAATCCGTCACCTCGCAAAACAAGAAGCCAGGAGAAGGCAGAAAAGTCTACTGTATCTCAGGAAGACCCAGCTCTAGTTTCTACCCCAAAAACTCACAGGCCCAAGAAGAGTGTTTACAGGGCTGAGATGCTCTCTCCGTCTGACAAAAAAGGAAGCCCGATAAGGTGGGTACCAGTTGGTGTCTTTGATCTTCACATCTTGGACCTACATATGTGATTGGTATATTAACAGTGTGTTTCTTAACTAATTTATTGGTTAATTTTTTTTGTTTTTTATTGTTTTGTCAATCAGAATGAAATTCACTAGAGTGTTTCCATCATCTGCCACAAAAGCTGGAGATTTTGAAATATCAAGTCCTGTTTCAGTGCTGGTAACTCTTTATTTCTCTCTGGAGGTGTCATCTGTTTGTTTTTTTTTATACATTAACATTGCATTAATGTCAATAAAAACATTTTAACAGGAATCAAATTCACTGAAGAAAAGAAAACAGGCTAAAAAGTTGGTGCAGAAAGCTAAAGCACTTCAGCAAAGCAAACAGACTGCAGCAGGGGAGCAGTCCGCTGTGCGCCGCTCTGCAAGGAGAAAAGAATGTGTCAAAATGAATTACTGCGAGGATGAGGTATGGCCTTTGTCTTGTTTATAAACAAGTTTAGATTATGTACAGTGGATTAACAGCTTAACGCCAGTGTGTTTTTGAAATGCTGTTTTCTGTCTTGTGACTTCCTTGCATCACTTAATTGTCTGTTTTTCAGGACTCTGTAGTCTTTGTGGAAGATCTTATAAGCAGCCCCACACCTACATCTCAAGAAAGTGGCCAAAGTCAGAAAAAACTTCGCAGTTTGAATGATGTATTAGGCAAAAATATACTTCCAAATAAGGCTTCTAAGAATGCTCCAGGTAAAGCACTAATTTAAAAAACAAGTCTATGATTTATTATTTTTCTTTCTTTTAAAGTGATGACTTGTTTTCATATTAATTGCTTATGCTCTTTGCAGCTTCCAAACTGGCACCTGTGTTTCTCGAAAGAAAAGCCCAGAAACCCATAGCAGTAATCTCCATTTTTGATGACAGCAGGTATTAATTTAGAAACAGTAGAAGAAAACATGCCTTTTAATTCATCCTTATTTTTATTCAGAAGAGGAAAAACGCTTTATTTTTGAACTTTTACAGTCGTGATGGTTCGGAAAACTCTCAAGACGATGAACAATTCAGAGCAAAGAGGGAATTCCTGAAGAGTGGCCTGCCTGAGTCTTTTAAAAAGCAGATTGCCAAGACAGCAGCTAACAGAGAAGCTTACACCCAGGCCTGTGCTTCTTTCCAGCCTGTGGTGCATGTCCAACAGAGATCCATGGGTAAGACAACGCTTCTGTATCCAGTGTTTAATGATCATATTATTATCAGATAAACAATTTTTGTTTGTTGTTGCCTTGGACAGGTTGCTTTATGTGGACCGTCCAATGGCCAGAAACGTCTTTTCTGAGTTGCCTGAAAGAGTTTTACCAGTTTCCACCGATGCCAAAGGTGTCTTTGACTGGCATTGCAGGCTGCATGACTGTACCTGCTCAGCGGTCCTGCAGAGAAAAGGTAGATTGTCACCTTTGAAATAAAATAAGAACATATTGTAAGTGTTGTTCAACATGTGACATAATTTTAATGTATTTAACACAGATTTATTGTAACCTATTGTTCATTGTTGATATTTAAAGAATTTACATTGTTTTGGAATAATTTCCTCTTTCTTAAATATTTTCAGGTGTCTGGCTGGCGAGAAGATTTTACAGAGTCCATTAGACAGCGTCTGTTGGAGGAAATTAGTGCATCCAATCGTTCTTTTCCTGTCCAGAGATATTTTACACGGTTCCTAAAGAGACAAAAATACTGTTTGTTACAGGGTGCTGCTGCAGGTGAGAACAATTTTGTAATCTGTCTCCTGAGACATTGCAGAAGCTTAAGAATTTTATGTAAGAATTTTATGTAAAGTAATTTTTTTTCTTTTGATTTTTCCCTTTCATATTTAATATTCTCAGAGCCTGAGTGTGGATCTAAAACACAATGTCCTGCTGGCTCCACCAAGTCTGTTGGAGGAAAGCGTAAACGTGTAGATGAGGCAGAGAGATCCAGCAAGCCGGCCAAGAAACAGAAGTCAAGTCACACGGAGGAAGAGCCCATAGTGATATCGGAGAGCCCAAGCTCAGAAAGTGGGGCAGCACCAGAGACCACTGACTCTGTGGCTCCCAGCAGAGGTCAGAGGAGACGATCACTGAGAAACAAGCAGGTTGCGACAGAGGCTAAGCCTGCAGTGCTGAGCACACCTGAAAATATCCAGTGTGACACTGTGATCGTCCTTGATTCTCCATCCTCAGAGACTGCATGCACTGAAGGTGAAGAAAGAGTACAAGACGATCCACAACATTGTCAGACACTGAAAGTTTTTTCTTTTCCTGTTCACATTTCCATTCACTGTATATATTTCCCCAGATGGTGTGAAGGAGGATGTGCTATGGACTGAAAAGTACCAGCCACAGCACTCTAATGACATCATTGGAAACACAGCTTCTGTTAGGAAGTTGCACAGGTCTGTACTGTATAAGACCATTGATAAACCTGCTTGAATGAGCTTTTCTATTGCAAGTATTTTTCTGGGAAATGATACTATAAAATGGGAAGCCGCTCTCTAAAGTTGTTTTGTTTTGTTATTTTCACCGTTAGCTGGTTAAAAGAGTGGAAACTCAGGGCTGACCGGGAAGAGAGAAGGAAGCAACAGGAGAAAAAGCAAGATGATGACAGTAATGGTAAAAAGTTCTAAAATAAAAAAAAAATCTAAATTATAAATCTAGTTTCAGTCATGTTTGCCTGTATGTTTCTAACCATGATGCATGACTGCAGACTCATGGTTAGGTGACTGTGAGGAGCTAGAGGAAGCAGAGGACCTGCTCTGTAACACACTACTCATCACAGGTCCCACTGGAGTAGGCAAGACTGCTGCTGTGTATGCCTGTGCCCAAGAGCTGGGCTTCAAGGTATGTTTTTCCCCACTGATGAACGTATTTGTTGTGGTTCCAAGGGTTGTGGTTACAAATAAATGTGAAATAAATACATGATTAAATGTTAGAATTTCATATTAGAAATTTAATTTTCTGCCCTAGGTGTTTGAGGTGAACTGCTCTTCTCAGCGAAGTGGTCGTCAGATCTTGTCTCAGCTGAAAGAGGCCACCCAGTCTCACCAAGTGGACATCCAGGGTGTCAATGCTCATAAGCCCACCTATTTTAACAGCTACAGTAGCAGCGGTAGTACAGCCAAACCTGGCTCCTCACCCAGTGAGTGCACACTTTACACTCACTGCTCTGGACTTTGTTAACAGCAACACTATTGATTTATCTGTTTGTTTCTATACAGTCATATGCAACAGAACAGCCCCAGTAAAATTACAAGTTTTATTGATTTAAAATAAGTTAAAACATCCTCTACAGAGAACGAACTTCAATATGCCTTTTTTTTGCCAATTTTAGTGCACAGTTTCTAATTATTTTTTATTTGAGTTTAACATATTGGGGCAAAAACATAATATACAAAATGCCATAACTTATATTTTTTTGTATTTTTTTTTTAAATATGTTAAATTCAGCAATTGTGCATTAAAATTTGCAGAAGTGTTACATTGTGTTTTAAATAACTTCAAGTTTTTATTCTACCTTAGTTTTTTGTTCTTAGAGCTTCAGTCTTTCTTGAAACCAAATCTGTGGTTTGAGAGAGTTTTTGTTCACAGTTTAAATGATTTTTTGTTTCTCCTCTAATCACAGGGAAGGTTAACTCCCCTAGAAGAGTTGTGTCCTCACCTAGAAAACCCCCTCAGTCCCCTCGAGGTGCTATGAGGAAAGGTGGCTTGGCACCAACTTCACTGGCCAATTTCTTCAAAGTGGGTGGGAGGCCCAAAGGCAAAGATGCTGGAAATCAAGACAAGAAGGCTCAAATGGGTAATAGTTTTAGCAAAATAAGTCAGATATAAGATCTAAAAATGTTTTATAATATTTGGGCAACAATCCTGCCATTGTCCTCCTCCTAGTCAAGTTAGATATTGAAAATATTATTTCAAAGATGACACTCATTAACAGAAATATCTTAAACAGTGGTTTAAACTGTGATGCTTTCTTGTTATTTCCTGCTTTTGAAAAAGTCTGCTCTAAGAAATCTGCCAAAGTGACTGAAAGTGGGTGCAAGGCTCAAGAGCCTCTGGCTTCCCCCCCAGACACCAAACCCACAACTGAAGAGCAGGGAAAGAGAACAGCCACCTCTCTGATCCTGTTCGAAGAGGTTGATGTCATATTTGATGATGATTCTGGATTCCTGACGGCCGTTAAAACCTTCATCACCACAACCAAGAGACCCATCATCTTGACAACCAGTGGTGAGTTCTAGAATAGTGCCTGATTGGTAAGTAGTGAAATATAGTAACTTTTTGAATGTTATAACATAGGGCCTCATTTCTTTTCAGATCCTACATTCAGTGCAATGTTTGATAGCAGCTTTGATGAAATCCATTTCAAAGCTCCTTCTGTGGTAAGACCATTTGTCATTTGAATTTTTTTTTTTTTGGGAACTAATCATTGGAAACTAATTTCAGCTATGGTATGTGAGTCTGGTCTGTGGTTCACAGCTCTCTGTGCCCTCAGGTCAATCTGGCGAGTTACCTGCAGCTGTTGTGTCTGGCCGAAAATCTGAGGACAGACACTCAGGACTTGGCATCTTTGCTGCATTGGAATAGATGCGATGTTCGACAGAGCCTTCTGCACCTGCAGTTCTGGGCCTGCAGTGGAGGAGGACGCCAGATGCAGCGCCCCATCTTATCAAGTAAATAAATGAATGTGCTTTAAATATGAAATCTTGTTTTTATTTTTATTAGTAGTAATTGTACATATTTCCTAGTATTTCTTAATATTACTTACTCTTATATATTTCTTTTCTCAGGAACTTCTGAGTGTGAGGTGAAGGGAGAGACTGTTAAAGTGGAAAATGTTCCTGCTGATGAACCACTACCACCCTGTCATACTGAATGCACAGAGTCTTTGTTGGGGATCCTGAATATTCAGCAAGACAGGAAAGTAGAGGATCTGCTTAGGGTATGTTCCTTTCTTAAGTATTTGTGTTTATTGGTCTAACTTCTGTTTTGTTTAGTCTTGTGTGGTCAATCACTTCATACTTGGTGTCTTTTTTTCAGTGTAAACCTTCAGTTGTGGAGAGTAAGAGCTGCTGGGGTCTCCTCTCAGAGACTGAAAGAAGAGGTATGAATCTGTTCTACTCAAATATGGAGGTGCTGTTGCCTCTGCCTGTCTCTGCTTTTCCAGAGCCCACTCCTATACCACGGTCAGTAACAAACCCTGAGCCCCGTCCTGGGCTTTTAGCCAGACATGGCAGTGTAGCACAGCAGGAGGAGCATGCCGATGGCATGAGCCCTCTCAAAGTGTCCTCCAGGATGAGACGGAAAAAGCAGCTGTGTTTGGATGATAAAAGTGTGTTTCAATCAGACTCAGAGTCAGAAGATGGCTTCCTGTCCCTGCCAAAACCTAGCAGTGATCCAGTTGGAAATCCTGACACAAAGCAAACACAGGCTGAGGCTGCTGAGGAGGCATGCTCTTCTAAAACCACTTCTGTGAGGATGAGAAGGGTCGAGCTGTCTGAAGCAGAGAGGAAGAGGAGTAAGCCTGTGTCACAGTGCCTGAGCTCATTCGCTGAATATCTGGACCTGATGTCGTTCCTTGACTCATCTCTGCACTACCATCCTCCTCAGACAGAGGGCGCTTGTAGACCACATGCCTTCCACTGGACTGGAGCAGAGATCAAGAGTGGAATGACCGATGAAGTGCGTCTGGAGTGTGGAGGCCATATGAGTGGATTCCACTCAGAGGAAATCAGTGCTGTGATACAGAGTCTGAGTTTTTGGAAATGTAGAGCTGAGGTCTCTGAGGCCTGGCATAAAGTCCAGGGGCTGGAGGAAGAGGTCAGAAGTGAAGCTGTAGAGGAGTTGACCCTTCCCGTGGCGCCACACAGACAGAGTTTCAGCCTTGCTTGCAGCACACCCTGTGAACCCAGGTGAGGATTTAGCACTGTGTTGAGTTCAATCGATTTAGATTTACATGAGCACATTAGTAAACATTTCTGCAAATGTGCCAGTTTGGCAGATTTTTAACTGTGTAAATATATAAACTGTGATGTTTGCTTTTTCCCCAAAACATCTGTTTAGAGGATATGTTTAAGTTATCATGAAATCCTAACTAGTCTTCACTGAATACAAATTTGAGATTTGATGTACTTGAAATCTGCGGCAGTGTAAACTGAATTGGTATCATGTCTTGTGTTTTGCAGGGTTATAGAGACGAGAAAGGAGGTATTGAGCGCAGTTCTCGCCTGCCGGTCATTTAGCACACTGGGGAACAGAGTGGCAGCCACAGTGGACTACATGCCTTCTCTGCGCACCATCTGCAGGTCGGAGAGACTGAAGGAGCAGGGCAAGGTCAAGCGCAGGTGAAAACTCACTACAGAAACACCATGGTCCGTTTTGCGGTCAAAACATTTTTGAGCTTAGCTCTGCTGTAGGATAGAGCTTTGATCGGGCCTAAAATTTCTGCCCAAACTTGAATACAGCCTTAAAATTTTCTGTCTGAGTCTGACCTGACACACAGTATGGCGCAAGATCATGGCTGAAGCTGGCGCCACCCCAATCCACGTTATCTTGTTTTGAGTCTTAAATTGACCTGAGTACAGCAAAATTCTCTCAGAAACTGACCTGATCAGGCCCATCTTCACCTAAAATGCCTATTAGAACCTGAATGGATAGCTAGCACCCCTTATCATATAGTAACAATAATTATAGTAATTGAATTTGAAGTTAATAAAATATAAAATAATATGCTACAGTAATCAGATATCCAAAATTAAGTTTTAATTACACTTTAACTAATTTATTCAGGCTTTTGGACATCTGAAACATTTTGGATAAACTTTCCATACAGCTCTGTGTGGTCCTGAGAAATGGCAAGATGTAAACATAAAACATTCTTGGCCAAACCGATTTAACATTCTTTTGGTTGCATTGACCTATCCTTTCCTAAATCTTTTTCCTGTTAATCATCGACCTCGGTGCTAAATTCACTAAAGTCATCAACATAGGTGAGTGACTCCAAAGCAGGCAGAATTACAGGATAAAATTTGTTAAAAGTGGGCAGGCTGTTAGAATCCGAATGTGAAATCTAAACCCGATCTGAGCCTGACACATATTTAGAAAATGAGGTCTGAACCCGATAGGGCTGCAGATGAATATTCAAGCTCTAGGGACCAAAGTGACCAAACTGAAATATGGAGGAAAAATGCAACATTTTCAAATTAATGATGGACTTTATCCCAATTGTATTAGGACTTGTTGCCATGTATATCTAGATTCTTCCCCATATATTGTAATTATTTGTACACTGCTTGTGATCTGGATGTGGTTTGCAAGTTGCTTTGTTTTTTATTTTTGTTTGTTTGTTTTGATAAACTGTTGCAAGGGAGGTTTTTGACTTTGAAGCATATATTAATCATGAATATGTGCCCTTGCACACGGTAAAACTTCCGGATGAGGCATGTTTATAATGTGCAAGGACAGGATGTGGGTTTCACATCTCTCAAAAAAGCATGAGCTTTAATACCAGAGGCCTGTTCTGTCTATTCTATATATATTGTGAGCATTCATGTAAGTCACTTACTCCAGCTGAGTGTGCAGAGCAGGGCGGGGAGGGTGTAATAACATGGATTCATTTAGAAATTTGTTTTGATTTAAACACAACAAGCGATTAGGTGGTAGTTTTGTATGTTTTTGTGCCCTTTTTTATAAATGTAAACACAATATTTTTTTTTTCTCTGTAGGTTCATGCACTACTTGGATGGCATTCACCTTGATCTTCCTAAAAGCATTATTGAACTCCTCGCCTCAGAATTTCCTTGAATCACTCAGTCACACATTGAATCAGTCTTTTCGTGGCAGCTGATTAATATGAATTTGTACAGTAATATTATATATCATAATTAGTGAGGTTTTATGTTTCTTAGTGGACAATATTGGACTGTCGTCTGTTTTATATCTGACTTGGTGTGGAGATCCTTGTGTTTTGTACTTTTTCATGCAATATGTTTTATCAAGTAATAAATCTGGACTTGCAACTTGTCAGAAAACGTTTTCTCTGAAAAAAATGTATATATTGTAACCCTGTTTTTTTTTGTTTGTTTTTTTTGTTTTTTTTGTTTTTAGGATTTCTTATAAAGGCTTTTCGTGGGTTTTTAAACTGTATACTGTTAGTTTATCACCTGTTCACAACAAGATTGATTTTTATTTTTTTGTTTTGTTTTGTTTTGGTTTTTTTTTTCCTTCCTCAAATTACAGACACTAGTTTGTTCTTAGGCACTAAAACTTAAATTCCTGTTTCTCACTTGTTTTCTCTACAGTTCAATACCTCTTGATCAGTGTTTTGAATATTTACAAGTACTACCCTATTTAATTATTGCAAAGGAAACCAAGATAATAAAAATCCATATTTCTTACAGCGTTTCATTGCATTAAACATTTGACATAACTATTTTTCAGTTTGCTCACTAAAGTGAATGTTTTGTAGTGGTGGTGTCTGGCTCTCCAAGAATGTGATCATTTAAATGTAACAGATATCCAGCCTTCTTCTGTCTTTCTAACACAAAATTATGATGTAATGGGATTCTTAGCTTCTTATTTCTGAATGGTTCGTGTGTTGAGAGAAAGTGACTAAAGGAAATGACCGTTCTTCCTTTTTTATATACAGAACTTGTGGTTCTTGATCTTTTTGATGATTTTTCATTTACATTCAACATTGTCTGACCACATCATCTGGCAGTCCTGTAGTGCAGGTCTGTTATCAAAAGATCATACCAAATAGGCAAAAGGCAAGTTTGTTAGCAAAAACAGTACCTGTAACATGTCTTTCACAAGACGCCAACAAATATCTGATTTTTAATTTTATGTGGTAATTTTTCTTCTATTTTTGTAACTTTGCAGGGTCCTGTAAACTTTACAGGTATATACACATGAAACACATGAAAATCATGGTATAGTATAAATCATATATTTATATGTTTGCTTGGCATCTTAAAGGAGCTATATCAGTCCACTGATGACGTTTGTGTGGGTTTATGTACCAAAGAATATATTTTGAATAGATTTATAACTCATTTTTACAGGACTATTTTCCAGCTTCTCTATATCCCTTATAATTAAACGGTCTGTTTTTGTTAGTGTGCCTTTAAAAGTGAGAATTGACCTTTGTTCTGACTGACTGCCCTCATTCAGAAAGCTGTCCTTATAACGTAAACGTGAATGGGCGGAGCTATGCTGAATAGGTGAACATAATGTTATGTATCCATTTGTAACGTAACAGCCGACTTATAACACGCTTTGTTAGAAAATCACCTTCTATTGTCCTAATAAAGGTGGTAATACTGCATATTTCCTTAAAGTGTAAATCCCAACACCATGTCTTGAAAAAAAGTGAATTCGTGGATGTGGTCCTCAGTGGTTGCGAATAATTCGTGTGTGAATTCCCTGGCTGTTTTTGCAGCATAGTTTCCATATGTGTTTGGAGTGGGGAGCGGATGGTATATTCTGACTTTTTAATACTTACGTATTAAAGTTACATCAAACTTTCATTTAAAAAATAGAAGAAAAATAGACTTTCATTCATGTGTGCACTTTAATATCTTTTATTCATGTTAATGTGTTACACGTTATTGTGTCGCATGTTTCAGTTTCTTATCAGACGACGTCGTGTGCGACCCGCCCATTCGCTGGCGTCCCACTCCGATGCACCGCCCCTACGGCAGAGGGCGTGTCACCGTCAGTGGGCTGGAGAGTAACGGGCACTCGCGGACGTACATCGAGGAGCATCGTTCAAGCGCAGAGGATGGTAAACTGCATTTAAAAAGTCTGGGCGTCCGCGCCCCGAACTTAATTAAACTTAGTTAAAGTTGATTGTCCCTTTTTTTGAAACCACCTTTCATATGGCAAATCGAGAGAAGAATAAAAAGGCTCTTCTGGACTTGGCCAAGCAGCCGGACAACAGCAGCTGCGCGGACTGTGGAGCTCCAGGTGAGGAACGGTTAGCCGCTACACTCAGCCCACTGCTGTTCAGTGGCTTCACCGCTAATGTAGATCTGTCTATGTGGTCAACAGACAGTAGACTTCAAATATGTGTCCATATTAAATGTTCATATGAGTCCATTTTAAATGTTTAGTCCAATGTGAATAAAAGTAATTGTTTATTAGTGATCGTGGTGTTAACAGTCGTGTCCACCTGGCTAACGTTACAAAGGCTGAATCATGCTGTAAACCTGTTGTTTTGCTGTCAGTCACTGGTCGGCAGGCCCCTCCACACTGGTTTGAACAGTGGAGGCTATAGTCGACGTAAAAGGGGGACTCCACCGATTTTTCAAAAATTCTACATTATTAAAAAGTTACATGTAAACAAAGTCATTCAGAATGGTTTGATTTGAAATTCTCCGTTCTAGTGAAACCTGCCGAGTGGTGGTGATAGGAACGAGACGTCTGAGGAGTTTAATGCCTCTGAAAGCTCCCTCACATAGTTATTACATGAAATGATTTGATTTATGCTGCCTGAGAGGGCCAGTGATGGCACGTTATGTCATAAAATCAGGGGAAAAATATTTGACTTAATAATAAGAAAGAAATATAAAATGTCATGACAGTTCTGCAACAAAGGTTTGGCTCAGAATGTATATTAATCCATTTATTTTAATCCATTCATGGCAAGTAATGCAAGGCAAATTAGTTCCCAAAGAAAACTTATTAAATCACTTATTAAATTTTCCAGATTTACCACCATTTTACCATCTTTAACACTATGTATAAAAACTCTGAAGGCACATGTAGATTCTCTGGTGGTTTTGGATAGTAAATAAAATGGCTATATTTGTGGTGAAGACATCATGACCACTGGTTCCTTTTACCACCACTGTAAAGAAATCAGAGTCTGTAAGTTTCTCTACAATGACTATTTCAAATTAAACCACTCTGAATTGAATCTGTTTACATCTAAAGGACTGTATTATTTAGACATTTAGAAAAATTGGTGGATAGTAGTTCACTTGCTGCTCATGTGCTCTACAGACCCAGACTGGGCTTCATATAAGCTTGGCATCTTTGTTTGTCTGAACTGCTCTGGAACTCACCGCAATCTGTCCGACATAAGCCGCATCAAATCCATACGATTAGACTTCTGGGACGATGATCTTGTGCAGGTATGGGAATTATTTAAGCTATTCTGTTTCACCTGCCTTGTATTTGTCTCACATTTTGATGTCATTGTAAAGTGCCATACTTGGGCTTATTCACCTGTTTTGTTGTTGTGATTGTTGTTTATTGGTGGGCATGATGTTCACAGTCATGTCAAATGACACAAAAAGTTATCTTTGAACACTGTTTTGTGTTTTCTTATTAACCTCAATACTATTGTGTTCCATATGACTGAACTGCTTAATGTGAAGTTTATGAAAGCCAATGGAAACAAAGTGGCCAAAGACTTCTATGAGAAATTCGTTCCTGTCTTCTATTATCGTCCACAGCAAGATGACTGTGAGTAAGTACTCCCTCCTAGAGGCTTGAGGTAATTCATAGACTGAAAACTGGAATCATTTAAAGACATTTAAAGTGGGAATTATTCCCCAGCCATTGCCTTTGTCCATGTAGTTGGTAATAAAACAAATCTGTTGGTGGGGAAGTGGGAGACTGCTGATGTGGCAAACAGATTTAGGCTGGGGATGAGGCCATGCATTACTGTTGGTAACAATAAGAGGAACTGCTCATGTATTCATGTTTCAGCCAAGGGGGGGTTTTGGTGTTGGATGTCAGGCCTTTGAATATGTTAATTTGTCCTTTCAGTTCTCTACACACTGTGCATAAAGGCAGTTAGTTTAACTCTTTGAAGATATTTGTAGTTATATTGTTATATATTGTGATTATGTGTTTCTTTACAAATCACAAAACTGACACTGGACAGTAGTACACACTGTACACACAATCACACACTGCTTCTCATAAAATGTGGCTCCAGTTCTTAAACTCACTGGTGAGGTTTACTGGATACAGTCAAAAAAGTTTTGGACTTTTTTGGCCTAAGATTAGTCTGTGTTTAGAACCTTATTCCATTGTTTGTTTGTGTGCTCTGAGTGAGATGGTTCTTTTATGGACTACAGGGTACTGAGGGAACAGTGGATCAGAGCGAAGTATGAAAGGCTGGAGTTTACAGAGGAAAATAAGCTACGTGCCTACACATCAGGTAAACAAGGAGCTTTCAGGAAATTATATCTCAGAAACAAATGTGTGTAAAACAGTTTGTGTACAAACAGTTGTGAGTTGTATATACCTATTTTGGGCCTACAGTCATGCTCTTTGCTAGGGTTTCTCAACCACTGGGCTTCAGACCACAAGTAGGTCATGAAGCACCCTCTGATGTTCCTCAGGCCAATACCAAAGCTAAGTCAGTAGTTCTTAGAGGGCCAGTGATGGTGCGTTATGTCATAAAAATCAGGGGAAAATATTTTAATAAGAAAGAAATATAAAATTTCAGCGAACAATATTAACACAAGACTTGCCATGACAGTTCATCAACATTTCACCCATCTACTTGCGAGCAAACTTATGTTAGCCTACTCTGCTAATATTTTGTGTTGAGTGTTACATGTTTCATATTACAGCGCTGAAAATTTCTGACCAAAAGAGCCCGAACATCAACAGTGGATTTAAACACAAAAGAAACAAACAAAAAAATGCAGACAATAAGTTTGAAATAAGATTAGATAACGAGGGAAAACAGGTCACTGCTGTGCTCTCCTCATTTACTATACAATTAATGAACACACATTTTATATAGTGAATATATCAAGAAAGAACAGAGAAATATCTTAACCTTTCATTTTCTTCCAGAAATTAGAATGATGAGTTGAATTAAGACTTTTTGCAAAATCAAAATGGTTTTTAATATTAATAATAATTTATGTTTAATTGTATTTTAATTGTAATTTCTTCTTATTATTCTTCTTGTTCTTCTTATTATTATTCTTAGTATTATTATTATAACATTTATCATGTAAAATAAACTACACATGATTTTCAGTCTTGCTAAAACCTTAATTAAGTCTCAGTCTAGACTGGGTCTCACTTCCTGGGCAACAATAGAGAAGTTAGAACTAAAATTCTCTTTTCTTTTCTAATTTTACTTTTTAAGATTAAAATTTTGGTTGTGACTGCACTCAAATGAACAATCTGAACTGTACGCTGTTGTTCAGGTCAATATTTATTTGAGAAATAAATATTCAATAATTGGGACTTGAAGTGGTAAAGGTTGAGAACCCCAGCTCTTTCCTAAGTTAGTTGATTTATTGAGGCCTGTCTGGTATGCTTTACATATTCATATCAGTCTCCATTTCTTTACTGAATGATGTGTTTCTGACTTTTTAAACATTTTGAACACAAATATAATA